GCGATCCGAAGATGACGCCCGCAGCATCCTTCACGACAATCATTGCCTGCTCAGCTGCTTCTCGGACGTGGACGTCGTCAGATGACAAACACTCGACCAAAGCCTCAGCAAGAATCCTGGAGTCAAGGTACACAGGGCCCTCCCCGTTTGCAACGTCAAAGGCTTTGCGACCGTGCCGGACCTGAGCCAAAGCACGACCCACCTCTACAAGAGCAAAGTGCTTGCAAACGTCCGCCACAAAGGCTGTGGCGGTTTGCTCGAGCTCGGGGATAGTGGTGGCAAAGATACAAGCCTTGATCAGTTTCTTTACTGTTGCTTCCTGCGCAACCTTCTTCGGGATAGAGGCCGACCTTTCAGACTTGTCAAGAATATCTGCCATAGCACCAGGTTTATTCTCGAAGAGATCATTTGCATGGAGTCTGATCAAGATTGCCAGGTCTTCGGGGATGTTATCGTAGCCGATTTGGAGTTTGAGGTGGGAGCTGAGCATGCGGTAGGCTTGCTGCTTGTAGTAGATGTCCGAGGCTTTCCCAGAGTCCGTCTTTGGGACCTCCATGAGTTTACCAGCAGCGAGATCAATGCCGATATCTACAGGGAAAGGCCGCTTCTCGTTCGGGCCGATCAACCTGATATCGAAGCTTGGGTTATCATCAGAAAACTGCTGGAACGACAATTCTGGCGGGTGGTTGAGGAACTTTCGATTCCGTCCGCCAAGTTTTCCCAGAATGCGCATAGTAGTGTGCGCGTGGAAGTGATTGTAAGGAGATGGGCGTAAGTGATCCCAAAGTGCGGTCATCAACTCGTCCATTATTGGGCCCATGATTGGATCGAGGTAGTCCGCTGTGAGGTTGTCCACGCAGAGTTCAAGAGTGCGCAAGCCTTGGCCAACGAGATCAGAGTCGGCACGCAAGGCGACCACGATTGGGCGCATTAGATAGCTGAGATGAGGCAGAAGATGGCTCAGCCGGGCAGGAACGGTGAGAGTCAATTCCACGTAAAGATCCCGTTCTTGCGGCTTGCGAGCTGCAAGCAATAGGTTATTGAACGTTTCGAGAAGCATCTCCAGAAGCGGGAGGATTTCTTTGTACAGAAGCTCAAACCGTCCCCCACCAATACTTCGGAAGAGAGATCTCAGAAGAAGGAAGTAATTCATAGGTTCCTCGGCTGTGACTGACAGCTCAATGCACTTGGTTACGATCTTCGTCACATGTGGGTGGAGGACCTGCTCATTTTGCACAGAGAACAGGGTAACAGCCATGAACGAAAGTTTAAACATCCTCAGGAGTATCTTCGCCTTGGTCATGTCGGAGGTCCCGACCTCGTCAATCCGTTCCATAAGATACTGCAAGACCATACCAGAGAATGCGGGAGAAGTGGCCTCGCTAGCCAGGAAGAACTGGGGCAGATGAAGGAGAGCCCCATGTTCAAACATGAGCTCGTGTAAGTACGGAATTTCCGAATGGAAGACTTCGTGGAAGGTTGCGGTGTCAATGCAGTGGAAAACAGTTCCGAAACTTTCCAGAAGCTCTTTCTCTTCGCGCGACATTGGGGCAGTGTACTGGCTCGCAAGGAAGTCGAATGGAGATGCGTAGTTCATCTCAGGAGGGGACTGATCTACCCCATAGTACCGGAACACACGGGCTCCCTCGTGGAAGAGCTTTTTGATCACACTAACTTCCTCGGCATTGTAACCGTACGAGACTTCTGACCAGTTAATAGGAACGTTGCTCGGGTCGATTTGAACATCATCTGGGTTGCAATTCTTCAGTTGCCTGAAGATATTCTTTAGCCCATTGATCAAGTTTCGGAAGAGGAAAATGTTGTCCGAAACTGGGTCACCTCCACGATCACGCGGACTAGAAGTCTTAATAGGAGAAGCCGAGAAGATATCAATCTCGTCCCAGTCCGGTGGCTGGTCCTTCTCGGCAAGGTAGTTCTCGGCGCACGGCTCGGTGTCCTGTCGGAAAACTTTGTACGCCCGGGAAACCTTGACGGCGTTCTTGAACTGGTGGTTCATCGATGCGAACTTGTCACCAATCGCATCTAAAATCATGATTAAGAAATATCGCGCCTCGCGCTTGTCTTCTAGTTTGGAGATATTCTCTGCCATGTTCAAAAGAAGTTTTGCACTCATTGTCTGGAAGCTAGTGCCGGGGAAATCGTCGTGAAGGTTTTTTGTGTAGACTTCGACCGTTCGCCGTATCTGGTCGCGACTGAGATGGTCACGAACATGGTGTATTAAATCAGCCAACATGCTGTAAGCCAGTGGTCTCATGGTCTCGTAGACAGTGAGGCCATCTCCGATGAGAGTCCGCTCATCTAAAAGCTCATCAATCTTCTCCAGGAAAATCTTGCGATAGTTGAAATTGATGATATGACGAATGGCTACCAGCAACTCCTTCCTTGCACCCGACTTCTCTCTTGGGCAATCTTGGAGGAGACGTACGACGACAGAAGGAAGCGTAGGAAGAAAGTCCTGTAGCTGATGGGCATAGAGACGCAATAGATACGCCAGGAAGCTCATTGTTTTGACCTGAGCTGTAATGAACTCGCCAAACGCAGCGCGATTTTTTATTTCCTTACACACGCCCGTAAAGATTGTGCCTTGGGCTGCTGCCTCTGCGTGTGCCTTTTCCTGGGGCTTCGCCTGAAGCAACAAAATGGTTTTGATGAGCGGGACAAACAGCTTGACGTTGGCCGGCACCGATGCGCGGTGTGTCTGAAAGATTGAAACGACGATAATCGGGCACTCTGCGAGGACCTTGAACGACTGCATACCCTTGAGGAGAACATTACTCGACTGCTGATCAGGTCCTAAATCTGATACTGAGGTGGCAGGGGAACTCGGTCGGGGAGACTGGAAGTTTTGTGATGTTGCGTTGGGAGTCGACGGCATTCCGGAGGGCGTGGCCTGGTTGGGGGTGTCGAAAGTATCCCGAACCACTTGCTCCATAGTCTGAAACATTTCCTGGATAAGCTCCAAGAAAGCCTGCACCCGATGTGCGGTAGCCTTGGCTTGGTTCCTCTCCAGATCCATGATGGTCTTCATACATAGCACCGCATTATCTTCGTTCTCGATCCGCGCAAGTTCCATCAACAGATCGACCATATCGACGGCGTACGGCTCCACATCGGGGGAGCCCATGGGTAATCGGTGTAGTGTTTCGAGGATGCAGTTTCGTAATTTCTAATGGATGACCAGAGTGGTTAGCCGACTATGCGCAACATCCATCGAGAGCGAGCTTGTGCCAAAGAATCTCACCTGGTCGTAAGACATGCTGAAGAAGACCGGGTCTCCCTTCAAAATGTTTTTGAATACCGGCCATAGCTTCGCTAGGAATATGGGGTAGCTTGCGCCCGAGCATAATGGCTCAATGCTGTCTCGTAATTCGGTAGCAACATTGGCTCGGACTTTGACATCTATTAGGATAACGAGGTAGTTAGCAAAGAAATCTGAGAGGAATGATAGGCAGCGCAGAGCTCATAAACATACCCAGCTTCTCGTCCCCGAGTTTACTGGCGTAGATATCAATGTTTCGCTCCATCGCTTTGATCTGACCCTTCTCAAGGGCTGGCGACTAAATGGAAAGGAACAGCAATTGCGGCCGGGCCGAGAGGCCGGCTGAGGAGAGCGGAGTGTGCGCAGTCTTCCCGGGGGGGAATTGAGCTCTCATATGTTGTGGTGTGGTGTCACGGAAGCTGTGTGGACTCGGTCGATATGCGAAAAGATCGGAGAAGGTAGAACTTAAACGAAGGAAATCATCAAGTCATTGGGTTCTTCAAGGAAAACACCTAGTGCATTTAGATAAAACAGGTCCGGATAGCAAATGAGTGAATAGAATTACCCCGCGGGGGAGGAGAGGCTGAGGGAGATGGGGGGAGAAAGTTGGGGATTGTATGCGGCCGCGATATTCACGAGAGCAGAACAGAGGACGCGGGCTATCGCAGAGACCCCGAAAGAAACACTAGTCTGCATTAGGCAATTATATCGGTGATGGTTGTTCCGCTCCGAAGCCATTCAAGGTACCGCCCGGAGGCCGGAGGCCGGGGGCTATACAAGTTCAAGTGCGGAGTAGTTGAGTTTGGATGTTTTGATTTTCTTGTCTATGAGATGGATATATGCACTCTAGTCTTATCTGTCCTTTACCCAGGTGGCTGCTCTTACCTGAACGGGATACATAGCTTTCCAGCATCCCCCCGTGGCAGGCCACTGCTCTATACATAGGGTATACTTTAGAAGCAGCAAGTCCAAGCTATAGGAGCTATACTTCGCCTATGGGCTGCTTAACCTATCTTCACAGCACGGCATATATGTACGGATCTCATCTACTAGTAGATTGTACATTTCGTATCATGGGCCATAACAAGCTTAAGGACACAGTATAAGAGACCAAAGTTCGATGCGTATGTAGTTACATACGAGACTGGGCGCTATATATCTTCTCGCATACTGAGTAGTTACTTATATTCAGAAGATATGTGTTCGCAAACAAGATATCATGGAGTTCAACTTTTGGATTGAAGTTGAAGTACCATCCAATGAAAATATATCCAATGAAGATATACATCTGCACCGGGGGTTCTGGTACACCACAACAACTCAACATTGAAATGATAGTATCGCCTTTATCCTTGAAGCACATTGTATATGAAATTGATCTATAACTAGACATTTGATATCATCATTAATTCAGTGAAGTATACGAAAAGCCACCAAAAGAGCCCATCACACCACCAGATGACGAGTGAGAGTAACTATGACTTTCCTCCTATTCTTACTTTCAGTATAATATCCCTAATCAATCTAGGTTCTACAAGGTATGCCTTATATAGCAGTATATATGTAGGATTGCAGACTAATATTTTGGGTGGGCTATGAGACGAGCCCTTTCGTAATCGTATTTCTCGCACCCAACTCCGATCAGCCCCGCATTAGGCGGATCTGATTATTGTCCCTCCTTAGACGCGATTCCTTCAAGATTCCATGGACTCTGTTGAATATGGACCCCCTTTCTATTATCTCAGCGGTAGACCTTTGCTTCAAGTGAGTTATGGAACACAGTCGTCCCACTCAAACTAACCATATGTCAGATATGGCACATATCTGGTCCAATTATGCACTGACTTTGCAAACGCCAAAGGCGATTATGCGGAAAAGTTCCTCCGTGTAGAAACTTACTGGATGAGGACGGAGCTCCAGCTGAAGGTCGTGCGGAGTATTGCTCCCGAGCTCAGCGAAAAACATCGCAGGATTCAACATGAGACTATTGCAATGCTAGCCACCAAGTTGGAGATTGCTATCAATAATCTTGAGTCCATTGTCAAGCGTCGTCCTGCCGGGAACAAAGAACTGGATATACGTCGGTGGAAGTATGCGCTCACGAAGGAGAAGATTGACAGGACCATCGAGGACCTCAAAGAATGGCAGTCACTATTTGATCCATCATGGTATTTGATTATGAAGCTCACGGACAATAAAGTCGATTCTGGCCTAAGCACATACGAAAAATCTTCTGCTAAACATTTCCAAGACCCGATAGCTCCTGCGCAGGCCCTCAGAAGAGCCCTGAATCCGAGAGCCGCGAACCCTCCATCGGTTCGCCTCTCAGCGGACTTTCTGATTTCGATCAACCCGCAAACAATACCATTTTGCTCAGCAGAAGTCGGCAGGAGGCCGGAGAATGGTCAATCGCTTATTGTGGAACGAGTCAAACCTTTGCCAGGAGCCAATATCAAGGATATTAGCAAAGATATACGAGATCTTGTCAGACGGCTGTCTAAGTCAGATAGCATGGAATTTGGTCTCCTCAGCTGCAAAGGATATATCGCACATCGAAAACCGGGCTCTTCACAATCTACTCCAGATGCATTTACTATAATCTTCCGAATGCCCGCAAAGCATGTTCAACCCCGCACTCTCCGTGCTTGTTTCCAAGAGATGAGCCACACCCACTCACTCTCTGACCGGTTCAAGTTGGCGAATGAGCTTGCGAAAGCAGTGCATTCCGTTCACCTGTTTGGATTTGTTCACAAAAACATACGACCAGAGACAATCCTACTTTTTGGAAGTGACGAATCCTCGCTTGGGTCTGCCTTCCTGATTGGATTTGACAGTTTCCGCATGGCCTCTGGTAAAACATTGCGCAAAGGCGAAGCATCGTGGGAACGGTGTCTTTATCAACATCCCGACCGCATAGGAACTGTTTCCTCCAACGATTATATCATGCAGCACGATATCTATAGTCTTGGTGTATGCTTGTTAGAGCTGGGACTGTGGGAGTCTTTCGTGTCATACGAGTCAACCCCGACAAGCAATGACAATGCTTCAACCCCTACTCGCGCTTCTATTCTGGGAATGGATCGAGGTGTATATTTCCAAAAGCATCTCCTCTTCTTAGCGCAGGGCGAATTGCGGAAGCGAATGGGGACCAGATATTCCGAAGTTGTTGTCACTTGTTTGACATGTTTGGATCCTGAAAATGTCGACTTCGGAGCGGAGGCCGATTTTGAAGATGATGATGGCATTGAAGTGGGGGCGAGGTATATTGAGAAGGTATGTTGCTTCAACCCAAGTCTCATGGAAAATCGATCCCTAACACATTACCTGGAAGGTAACGATGCGACTGAATAGTTTGTGCGTTTGAGTCAATAGTTCCACTTCGATAGAGTATCCCAGTGAAAAAGGGGGCAGGATACATGTGTCCTTTATACACAGCAAGGCTCCGTTTTGACTTTATTCATGTGTGTCAAATAGCCATCTCCATCATTCGGTCGATTGGGATGGGGACATAATGAGTTATAAAGTCAAATAGAAGCAGATATTCAGGGGACCAAGCAGGGTTGTCAGTCTCCATCAGGTGACATGGATCTTTCAGGGGTGGAGCGGACAGGGAAGGTGATAGGTCTGTTGCAACGGCCGCCAGTGCAATGGATCCATGGGAGCTGTGGACTATATAGAAGGTTAAAATATCATCCATCAACCTTCTAAGAAAGTAGTTTGAAACTTATAACTCAATAATGTGTTGTATTAAAATATGTTTACATCTTATTAAACAGTCAAGATTGTGGCAAGGGTAAAGACCAGCCATGAAGATCATCCCTAGCCTATGAATTTATGATCTACTGTGCATACTGCATAATATTGCCAAATTGTACTGCATACTTTATATTTTATCCAAACAAGTAGCCTCAGGTCACATTAAAGCAATACAAGGCGTATGCGACCTTGGCGTTCTTGCCAATCCAATAGTGCGGATCTTCGAGTGACGTTCTTGTCGCACAGAGAAATACATCATCAGCCCCCCCTTACAACATTAGGTGCATTCATATGGTAACCTCAGCCACCCAAGTCTATGGCGAGGCCAATGAGAACTTCAAATTAAAGAATGCATTTCAATTGTGGGATCTTTCTAATGACTTGGCTCAGCTGCAGCCACACAAACAGTCCCCTGCAGGACAATGTTGTAGTCTCCCTTTTTCCCTGCTCGGAATGCAGAACAAAGAAATAAATTGTTATCAGAAGAGACATGTCCCCATATTCTAATTTTCTGTTGAGCATCGATTCCATTTTGCCCAACCCATATCAATGGAGAAGATATCAAGTGATCCTCCTCAGCAGGAAATTCTACGTGATGCACCCGATGAAGGGGGATCGCCATCTAGCCCTCCGGCCAGCACCTGGAAGGTGGTATCTCTCACCATTGCGCTATGTTTAGGCATCTTTTGCATGTCGTTGGTAAGTGGAATGCTGTAAACAGTAGCTAGCGGCCGAAGGACTGTCCATTAAGGCTGACCATTTTGTCTAGGATGTCACAATCATCACAACCGCAATTCCTCGTATCACCGATGATTTTGACTCACTAGACGACGTGGGCTGGTATGGCAGTTCCTTTCTTCTTACAACCTGCGCCACTACTCTCGCCTTTGGTAAATTCTACACATTTTTCTCCACGAAATGGGTATATCTATGTGCCCTCTTTCTATTCGAAGTCGGTTCTCTTGTTTGTGGAGCTACTCCTACTTCACTTGGTCTGATTTTGGGTCGATGCATCGCTGGTGTGGGTGCTGGGGGGATCTTCTCCGGGAGTCTCTTGATGATCGCTCAGACTGTTCCTCTGCATCAGCGCCCAATCTTCACGTCCTTACTGGGTAGTATGTACGGCATTGCCAGTGTCGCTGGTCCTCCGTAAGCCAAATTCCTTTCTTACTCTTGTTTCTGCTGTCTCCTAACTGGATTAGATTGGGAGGCGTGTTGACAGATCGTGTCACTTGGCGTTGGTGTTTTTACCTCAACTTGCCCATTGGTGCTGTCACTGCAATCTTCGTCCTGGTGTTTTTCCAAGCCCCCGACTCAGTAAAACGACGTCCCGAATTCCGCAAAATGGTGGGCGAGCTAGATCCTCTCGGCTCGTTCTTTTTCCTACCTGCCATCGTCTGTCTTCTCCTGGCCCTCCAGTGGGGAGGCACTCAATACGCCTGGAACAGTGCCCGAATCATCGCCCTTTTTGTTCTCAGTGGTGTCCTCATGATCGCCTTTGCGGCTGTTCAGATTTACCAGAATGAGAAGGCCACACTTCCACCACGTATCATTTGCAATCGAAACATCTGGTCATCAGCCGGGTATGCAATTAGCCTTAATGGTGCATACTTTGTCTTCATTTACTATGTATGTTGAGTCCAGCTCAGTTTCGCGTTCGCTAAAGCTAACTTTCTAGCTTCCTATTTGGTTCCAGACAATCAAGGCGGCCTCGGCCACCAAATCAGGTATAATGAACCTGCCGAGTATCATCACAATCATTACCGTCTCTATTGTATCCGGTACTCTTGTCACCATATTCGGCTATTACAATCCAGTCATGATCATGGCCTCTGTCATAGCAACAGTTGGGGCTGGCATGCTTACTACCCTGAGTGTAGACTCGGGGAGTGGCGAATGGATCGGCTACCAAATTCTATTTGGAATAGGCATCGGTCTCGGAATGCTACAGCCATTTATGGTGGTGCAGAATGTGCTAGACGATGAAGACGTCCCGACTGGTACAGCGGTGGCAACGTTTGCGCAGACCCTGGGAGGTGCAATCTTCATTTCTGTGGGTCAGAATGTCTTCCAGAACCAATTTGCGCAAGCCATTCACTTGGAAGATTCCTCGATGGATATCGCCGAAGTTCTTGCAGCTGGTACAACTACTTTACGCAAGAACCTTCTAGCTGAGCAGCTGCCAGCGGTGCTAAGATCCTACAACACCGCTATTACCCAGACCTTTTACGTGGGAGTGGCTTTGGCAGGGATTTCCCTCTTGGGAACCATCGCCTTGGAATGGAAGTCGGTCAAGAGGGCAAGGGACAGCACACCACCTACACCCACCGATGATGAGGCGAGTTGAGTTTGCATGTGATTTGGTGTATAGCTATATATCAGAGCTTAACAATACCTTGGCCTGACTTTTACAAAAAACAACAATTTATCGGGTCATATACATCAGGTTCCGAGGCTCGTTCGATCCGTTCTCGCTATTTCAAACTTGAACGTTACAATAATACGACCCAATGTCCTTCCCTTCATCGGTCATGGTAGCAGCTACTAGAGAGTAGCATACTGAAACACCCCAAATAGGCCATTGTATGCCCATAATCTCTCTCCCCTTCCTGAAAGAATCTCGACATAGGAACACCGGCAAACCGTTTCATAGATCTGGGTTTTGTACGAGTCTTTCGACTTCATCCAGTCCCGTCAAACTCCTGGCAGTGCCATCAAGTGCACCGAACGGGAGCATACTACCAATCCGCACTAGCCAAGCTTTGGTGCCCCTCCAAATAGTAGGAGTGTTGCTTTTTAGAAGGTCTGACACGACAGCCTTTGCCCATTCCTGAGCCGGCATGCCATCACCCTCGAAGATGTTTCCCCGAATCGTGCGCTCCACAATTTCCTTCGCATCTTCATAGATGGATCCCTCCGGCAAAGAAACTGCGTTCTGTTTTCGTTGATTCTTTTGGATATTCGATTCGACGACTCCTGTTTTGAGCTCCACGACCCTAATACCAAAGGGTTTGAGCTCTAGCCTCTCCGCATCCGAAAATGCAGCCATTGCAGCCTTCGATGCATTGTACGCAGATTGAAATGGCACGGTACACAAGGAAGCAACTGAAGTGTTGTTGACAATCATTCCCTTTGATTTCAGCAGCAATGGCAGGAATGCTTGGGTGACTGCCAAGTAGGACCAGACGTTGAGGTCAAATAATTTCTTGGCGTCTGGAATCGAAAGGTCTGACACTGGCATAGCGTAGCCAGCCCCCGCGTTGTTGACTAGGATGTCTAGATCGGGTATGTTGCTAAGACACTCCGCAATTGATTCACCCGACTTCACGTCTAACTGAAGTGTCCTAATACCTTGCGAGGCCACGTCTGACATTTTAGAGAGGTCTCGGGACGTGGCGTATACCTCCAGGCCAGCTTCATGGAAGGCAATCGCGAGTGCCGCCCCTAGACCGCCATCTGAACAACCGGTTATGAGGACTTTTCGAGTAGGCGACATGAGTCAAATTGTAGCAGACTTTGGTTACGCCTAGTCCAAACAGATATTGACAGGGAAATCCATAGGTTATATATTTGCGACAATATCGTGACGTCAGTCGAGCCGAATAAATGATCCATGTTAACCTTGACTCTGCTGACAGCTCGGTGAACTCGCGCTAAAGCGCATATACTTTGCTGTTTTTGAGTCATGCTAACACCATGAATTAGTACTAATTAATTACTATGTATGTCGCTCACTAAACTAGTTCAATATCATTGGAACCCGATGAGGCGAGAGGATCCCCAAAACGGCCCCACTAGCGGCTCTGTGGGAGCATGGATCTTCCTTGGCATATCTTGGCATTTGAGTCAGTATGTCGCTGCACGTGTTTCCAAGATTTGACCTTTCGTACTGCACTAGAAATCTGATATCACATGTACAGAGACATCTTCTCTCCACTTTTTGATATACTCATAGTTTTGGTGTCTGGCCTCTCCTTCCGTCCCAGATGAACTGCATTCACTCAATTCAACACTAAAGTCCCTTTTGACCAAACCTTCTAACCATTCATGTTCCCAAAGTGGTTTTTCATCAGTTCGAATACCTTCTGTGAAAAATGTCCATGAGAACAAATTTCGCGTAGCAATCTCAGAGAGCCGCTCAGTCTTTTCTTTCTTCAATTGAACTGGGTTCGGGCGCATCTTTGGGATAATGATTGAGATGGCCCTTGCCGCCCAGGCGCGAAGATTCAAAAGATGTTTATATGCAACAAGCTTTAAAGACCTCATTAGAAGACATAGTGCTGTAAGACTGCCTAGAAAGATAATACTGCTATGTTGCTGAGTGGGTCGTGTTAGCCAGAATAGGTACTTGAATCGCACACGTGGGGTAATCTTCAACTCACCGTATGAGCCAAGCTAGACGCCCAAAGGGGACCTTTTAGCATCACCCCACAAGCAACTCCTGTGAAACCCCAGATTGATGAAAGTGAGATATGCTTGAACGGCCTTGTGAAGGATTGTGAATCATTTGGAATTCCAAAATCAATTAATGTCTCCCTATCTTTACACTGCCAATTCCAGGAATCATAGATGAGCCCGTGACCATAAGAGAGATGAAGTCGGACTTCAAGGGAAGTGTGCTGGATATCAACTTCGCCAAATGGTGCATAAGGGCAGAGTGGTGGAACTCCATATGTTTCCGATAGAGTGTCCGTCAAGAATAAAAGACGGAACTCATCTTCTCTAGATATCATGGTCCTTTCGCCGTTTTTGTGGGATCTAGCAAGGCGATGGTTAAGGGGATCCATAAAAGACTGAGAGACTGCGTCCAGGTTACCCCTTCAAGGTAAATTGTCGGTAGGAAAGATGTAGACACTTGGAATATGCGGGGCAAAAGGCCGGTAATCGTGGCGCCTAGCCATAGTGAGGCTAAGTTAGGGCGCCGTTCAGATAGGGCCCATATAACGGGAAAGGGCTGTTTTTTCTGGAAGAGCGCTAGGCCAATTTCTTTGATAGCAGGACCGAGCCATTCACTAGCCAAATTGCAAGGAATACCCGGCTCCCAGAGTCCTCCAAACAGACAAGAGGTAAGTAGACCCGATGTAGCGGAAAATGCCATGTATCGAGGAATATCATTAAGTGTAGGGATCTGATCGGCAAAGATTAATTCCGTTTGCTGGGGCGAGCCATGCCTATTAACAGGCCTAGGCAAAGCAATGGGAGCACCAAAGCAATTATGCATCGGCAAAGTCATGGTTGCAGCTAACACGCAAGCAAGTTGATCGAAAGCGTCGTGATGGCGGGCAAAATTGTGAAGATACTCTTGTGCAATCGCTGAAGAGGGTGGTGAGAGGTTGGGAAGAGAAGCTAGGACCTGCAACTCTGCATTGTGACATATCCAGAAAGAATTGCTGCTCAAATGATACTCCCACGGGGGAAGGTAAGCTTTATTCTCTCGAGTCAGGGTGGCCTGCCAACCACGCCCACCGGAGAGAATCGCAGCCCACCATCTCACTTCAGCGACACTATCGGATCCGGTGTCTAACTCAAAATAGCCACCAGTATTTGTGTCATGGCCCAAGTTCCATTGTGCCATATTGTCGGTGTAGACCACGGTGTCTTCACTTGATGTGCGCCGGAGTTCTACCAACCGCGCAGAGAGAATATATGACCAACCAAGTACGAATACAGCGAGGTAATTGCCAGCCAAGCTAGCCAGCGGTTGCAGTCCTGGCCATTCAGGGAAGTAGTCATTTGATAAATTGCAAGCTCCTGGTTTAGACTCTCCAATACAAACATTCCGTAGCGACGTCTTCTTGGTCGTAGGCAAGTCACAATTGGGGTTCAATATTGTACCAGGCGATGAGACTGTCCAAGTCGCATGACCTTCGAGAAAGATCGAATTATTCTTAACATTTTCGATGACCTGGGGGTTTTCCGGGATTGAAGGCGTATAATTCAATAGCGATCTGATTCTGCTGCAACGGTATGGAAAGTGGGCCGAAGGACGAGCAGAGGATAATGCGCGCCACGTCGACCGAGAGAGCGATGAAACTTGAACCGAAGCTACTTCTTGAGGACGTAGTGGATCATAATCGTTGGTCATGATCTTGAGATGATTGATATCTTTGAACATGGCCAGATGGTCCTACAAGAGAAATAGAGCACCCGTCCTTCCCTCAGTGCACACCGCCTGTTTGGGCATATGAGGTAGTTCAATGTTGTTTACCTGACCTCTAGAGCCTGAGGCCACCCGCCAAGAATATGCCTCAACCTCAGGACTTGCCTATAGCCATCCAGTTCCACACTACTACTAGCATCTATGGAACATCCTATACTTTCCACCTCGGGATGTGGGTCCTTGCCAAGTAAGGTCACCCTTTCCGGTTAGGACCTTGGGCAGATGCCAAGATGCCGATACATACGGAGTTCTAGTAGACCATTTTCGTATGGCGGCTATTCTTCTCCATAGTCATGTGGCAACGGATGTAACCATGCGAAGTATGTCGAAGTCCTTGCATAATATGATATGTCTACGTGCAGTATAACGTAAGACTTCGTACTCCGTACGGAGGATGGGGCTATTTACCCTGCATCACATACCAAGCGGGATTCCAATCATGACTGCATGAGACACGTCCTCTCGTTCTATAAAAATTAGAAACATAAGTTATTAGAATTGGCATGAGATATAGGACCAAGACCTTGCATTCTGGTTAACCTTTGTGACTATAGTTAACATCTCTAACTTAATCCTTTCTTGTGAAACGATTATAACGCAACACAGCAATGACAGTCTCTTCCACTGCTCAGCCTGTCAAGGCCTCTGTGTTATCGGCGGCAGATATGCCCCATCGAACCCTGAGCAAGTCGATGACCTTTGCCAATCTGGATCAATACCAATATTGGCACGCCGTCGGTCCAATGCTGGGAAGGATGCTCGCCGACGGCAACTACAGTATCCATAAACAATATGAATACTTGTGTCTCTTCGCACATGTCATAATCCCAAAGCTGGGACCATTCCCGGGTGGAAGAGACGTATACGAATGCCTACTCGGCGGCACCGGCACCGTGGAGCTCAGTCAGAATATCCAGAGATTGGGCCTGACTGCACGCGTTGCCTTCGAGCCCACAAGCTACATTTCTAGCACTGGAGTCGACCCGCTAAACAGACACACGGTACACGCTACCCTGGCGGAGTTGAGGGCTATCGGGTCTGCCAGCGTTGATATGGAGCTGCACCAAATGCTCGTCAGCGAGCTGACCTTGACGGACCGCGAGGAAAGGCTCATGTCTCCGGAACAAATCTCGGGAACTCCGTGGAAGACACAAATTCTGCTTGCCTTGGACTTGGGACAGACCGACATCACCGTGAAGGAGTATTTCTACCCTGCACTCAAAGGTTCCGTGATAGGAAAAAGCGTGGCTGAGTTGTGCTTCTCTGCTATTCGGAAAGTGGATACGAAAGGAGTTTTCGAGTCCGCCAGCAAGGCTATTGAGACCCATATGCAAAACCAGAGCCAGACCGACCTCTACTTTTTATCCTGTGACCTCGTCGATCCAGCAGAAACTAGGATCAAGCTTTACCTGATGGAACTAGACATGAGGATGGAAAAGGTTGAGGAACACTGGACAATGGGAGGCAAGCTCGATGACGAAGAGACATTGCTTGGGCTGGAAATGCTGCGAGAGCTGTGGATAGAGTTTGGGATTATTGAAGGCATGCGGAATGAGCCAGAGCGGCCATCGCTGCCTGGGGATCCTGACACTATTGTTCCCTTCATTATGAACTACGAGATGAACCCCGGCCAGCCATTGCCCAAGCCCAAGTTCTACTTCCCCTTGGTCGGCATTTCCGAGCTGAAAGTCGCTAATGTTCTCACTGCCTTTTTCGAGCGGTATGATATGCCTGAGCAGGCCGCAGTCTATCGAGATAATCTGCAGGGATACTAGTAAGTTTCCTCTCTGTCCGTGAAACGTGTCTTGCTAACATGGCTCGTGTAATATCAGCCCCAGCAAGGATTTGGCTGTCGCAACGGATCATCAGGCATGGTTGTCCTTCTCATACACCAAGAAGAAAGGGCCATACCTCAGTATGTACTATCACTAGTAGATTAGAACAGTGATAGCCAAGTCATGTTCGAATAGACATATGACCGCGAGGCTTTGATAGTGTTCGGTGAACGGCATGAGTGCATGGTCACTTTGTTTGTACGTATTTTAGGACATCCCACCAGAATGAAAGTTGAATGTCCTATAGAATCATTCGTTGTCTCAGATAGGTACTATAAGAAGAATTTAGATATTATAAGCTCCATAATCATTTTCCTTTGTGTGCTCAGTGTGATTCAGAGAGATAGCCCATGTTTCTTCAATTTACATGCCCATTTGGCATGGTTTTCTAATATGCCTTAGCATACCATTTTGGAAATAAAGTAATATCTCAAAGCTATAAATGTATAGGGACTGCTACTATCTTACTGATTTCGATAGCATTCCCCCTACATTATGCCTAGATGCCTGACTCTCCCCACTGCAGGTGCTCCTGTTGAAACCTCCAGCTTGAGACTCCGTTGCAGGCCTCATTGCATAGCCATGTGTCTCCTACTGCTAGCTATGAAGCAAGAGCTAGGTCAGTGAATTAGGCCCCCGATAATTTCCCACACGCATGATTAGCTTTCACTTAGAGTCCACTTACCTCGTTCGCTGTCCAGCAAGCAAATCACTGCCCGCAAGCGCAATGGATCGACAGTTACGGTATGCTCTAAATTTGCACTCACACGGGCCTTCCGAGGAGCCTGTTAGATTACAAAATAGCACACCGTTTCAATCCAGAAGTTTGTCTTGGCCTTGGTTGATCGAATGACCACGTGGACATGCGTCGGAGCCGGGCTCAGTCGAAACGCCGAATGGCTTGGTAGTGCCGCCCAGGCGATCCAGGCCTGCCGGTGGTTCCTCCAACCCGTTGTCCACTGGCTCATCACCCCCTGCAATATTGTTTGTTGTTAGATTCAGCTAGAACTAGACATATTCACGCCATTAGACTGAGGAGCGATCTGATATCCGAGCACATAATCCCGTGTTTGCTGTGCGCACTGTCCATGCCAGTGCTCCAGTCCCCTGCGATTCGTTGCTCGCCATTGGCAATCGCCCAGCCCGAGCCTCATCTTCATAGTGTTTAATATTGGCCAAGCCAAATTGCAAATCAACGCCCAGGACTTAGCATGTTCGTATAGTTATGGTGCAATATTCCATGGTGGATAATCAGGCCCCTGACCCACACCATACCCATCTATGTAATCTCAGCCGTACATCTTTCCCGCATGTCTTTGAACCTTCTCTCCCTTATGGGCGCTCGGATGCCAATCATCACCACAGAAGGCTGGAACTATCCCATTGCATGACTATTGTGGATGGGATGGTGAGATTACCCACACACACACACACACACACACACACACACACACATGCCTAAGTCTTTGTGTGTTATGAATCAACTTTGCTGCACGCCTCGACCAATGGGTTCTGATCACACCATCCATACTTAGTGAGGCACTCGACGCACCCCACACATAACCGCGTGGTTTGTCTCAGGGTCTCAGGGTCTCAGGGTCTCGATTATGCACAGAGACAATCCATGCACAGCTTATTGAAACGGCGATTTAGACCGGGATTCGAGATGGGAGATCGATACTCAATGGGGAATGAACAGCTCATGCGTCTCACTCATTTCGTCTAGTCGACTATGCAACTCGTAAAATTTATTCTTAAAGTAAAGTTATGATGAGCCAATCAGATGGGCTAGGGGAGTTCGAAGATCAACATCCACAGATACTTTAATGCCCTCGAGGTGACTTTAATTTCGAAATAAGGCGAAATGCATCAGATACGAGGTAACATCTGATTACCTGCAGTGATGCTCTTACCGCATTCGTATTAGACACGGCATGGGAGATCCCCCTTGCATCGGGCCCGACCCGTGATAGCCGTGTAGGTTGCCCGTTGCGCTGGCGGTCAATGCCCGACTTGTCTGGGCATCTTCCTATAACATGTTCTCTTGCATTCTTCCCTCATATTATGGAGTACAGACATCTTACATGATTCTTCAAGGCGTACTGCTGAGCCATTTTTGTCAGACCCTTTCTCTAACTAGGTTTAGTTCACTCCAAGCTGAAACCTATTGCCACATGCATTGTAGGATTTTTTTGGCCTCCTTGCTTGCATGCTTATGAACTAGAGACATTTCGTATGGAATCATTCTACGACTTCCTTTTCGGCGCTGCGACGGGGTTCTAGATGGTTTGTTAAATGATTACTGTAAACATTGCATCTACACACTTCTACAGCCAATAGGCTCACCTCGAAATTTCGAAGTAAGATTTCCAACACACCAATATGTCTTGCTGACTTGCGAGTGGGATTGAAAGCGAGAATTCTGAATAATGTACTTTGACTTAGCTAAATCTGATTTCAACGGACTGAAACGGAAACCATAACAAATACTCTTGTGCATATGGAGAGATATGAAGAAGTAACGGTCTCTGGAATTCAATCTATGGAGTATAGGGTATCTATACCCGTGTAGAAAACAATAAGATATGGGATGGGCAAAGTACGACAAATACTACAGCGCTTCCAAGATAATCTCCTGCTCAGCAACCTTGAACCACGCTTCGCCCCGTTTCTGATCATCCTTTTCATCCACAGTAGATTTTCCAGGGAGCTTCAACTCATAGTTCTCAACAGTGTACGCAACCAAAACCTTGAGGATCGTGTCTGCCAATGCCTGTGCAATACACTGGCGGGGCCCGAAGCCAAAACGCCAAAAGCGATACCGGAAGCTTGACCTGGATTCCTCTAAAAACCTCCCTGGGCGGAAATTCAATTTATCAGCGCCCCACGTGTCATTCCAGATGTTCAAGGCATTGGTGTCAACCACCATGAAGGTGCCACGGGGAATGCGGTATTCACCCACGTCACGGTCACTGGGCATTGACTGTGCGTAGGTGTAATTGGTGACTGGTTTCAATCTTGCAGATTCATTGATGCAGCTTGCCAGAAGGGTGGTGTTGCTAGCAATGTAACTGACCCAGGACTCTGCAGTTTTGTCAGACCGGGCTTTGGAGATCTCGTCTCTAAGCTCGGTCTGGAGGTCTGCATCTTCAGCCAGGAATTGTGGAATCCAGGAGAAGCTGCCAATTGTCACATCAATATTGGCGAATAATGCCTCGTCCAATGTGTGCATTAGCTCAGTTGGTGTAATCCGGCCTTGCTCGACGGCCGTATACAAGGTAACAATAGCACATGCCGAGGCATCATCGCGGTCCTTCGCATCGTAATATGCCTTCTGATTGAAATGTGCCCAACGAGTGTGAAAGACCTGCAGCTTTTTTCTTATGGCGGGGTAAAATATCTTGCTGATGGAGAAGAGTGTCAATCCTCCCTTGAACGCATATTGAAACACATCGGTGCGCAGATCCGTGATGAGTAAGAGTTCCTCCGTCATCTCAGGAGACAAACTTCCGTACAATAGGTCGCTAATAACCCAGAAGGGCAGAAGCTTGAGATCCTCGGCGGGCTTGATGCGCAGTGTATTCCCTCTTTCAGGTCCCATGTATAGCTCGGCGAAATGGCGAGAAATACGGGACTGGACGAAAGGAACGTATGCAGTGGGTTTCTGGGTAAATGGAGGGGAAACTACAGCATGGACTCTCTTCCAGTGTCCTTGGCTGATAAGTCCAACGCCATCCCCCACTAGATCGCCCATTACCCATCCACCATTTAGGTTTGAAGCCTTGTAGTGGTTGCCAGAGTCTTTGAAGACTGGCTTGATCTCATCCGCACGGGTCAAAATACTGTGCTTTTATTTAGCTTGGGTAGTTCATCTTGAGATTTGGGGTCTTACATTTCTGGCGTGAGGCCAACCCAGATACGATAGATAGGGCCATATTTCTCAGCCCACTGACGTGAAACGTTCTCTCCCTCTAGGAACCTGATACTCCCCCCGCCATCTGGAAACCGGTAAGGGTAAGTCGGGATGGGGGTTGTGCCGTCGATTGAATAAATTGGGTACCACCAGAGCAAAATCCTCTGTATTGATACAAGAATGAACACATGTCAGTAGTGTTATGTTGAGCTGATGTTTCTTCAACGCATTCCAAAGTTACTGACATTGATTATGTAGGAGACTACTCGATTTGACCAAGTATTTGGTTTAAAGGCGTGCCACACAGTGAGTATAAGTGATACAACTGCCAACTGCAGCGTAAGAAGGACGTAGTAACCTGACATAGTGTTGGGCTGACGTTGGCAAAAGCAGAAGCAACCAACCGAGTATTTGAATAACAAGTTTGAGTTGGATCTGTAGTCGATTGCGTGGCACGGATTATCCCATCGGTATGCCCGATAGACACGATCATATTGCAGCTCCCACGTGCGGCTGACGATCCGGGCAACATCAGCAAGTGCCCATAATCTTACATGTGCGGGCTTAATGCCCATCAGCAAGGGACAACTCACATGGTTGCATTGCGTCTATCCGGGCGCGTGGTGAATACGATATGCAAGGACTATGTGGGTGTTGCAGGTGTAGCCAAGGAGGAAGAATCACTGGCTGTCAGGTTTGGCTTGGCAGTATAACGACATTCTTGTTGCTGAGAGCCCATTCTTGGCTATTTGGGGGCTTATGGGAGAGGCCATTTGGGCTAAAGTGCGAACGGTCCCTGTATTCATTATGGTGGAGGAACCCTCATATTTCAGGAGGAAGATTAACTTTTGGCAATACTTGCTCACCATCGCCATGTGTTCATACCACGATCGTCATACTATTTCCCTTCCTTTGGATAAGGAAGTGGAAGCAGTATGGAGTGATAATGGTGAACCGTTGCTGCAATCTCGTCGTCTCAAGGCATCTTGGGCCATTCTGCTCAGCAGGCTTTCAGAGACACAAACGACAACATTTGCAGTATTGGAACAACCGGCAGTCCCACAGGGCGACCCATGTTCGAAATTAGTGGCTTCGCCTCCGCATCTTGAGACCTGGGAAATCTCAGACAGTCCGGATAGTCTCTTGGTGGATGCAGCAAAGGAAAGCCACAGAGAGCCTCTTTCAGGCACACAGCCCTCGACGGGTGTGGTCATTAGCTGGCATGATGAACCTAATGGCCCAGCGTTGGTAAGTCGGAGTCAATGCGTACTTCACACAATAGACTGATAGTGTCTCAGTTGTCATGTTCGTTCAATACAATGGTTGTCTTCGACTGCAGTATATCACCCGTTCAAATATCCATGGAATACTCAAGGACATCTCTGACGGCGAATGAAGCCTGGTCACAATTGACGGCAATGGTTCGCATTCTGGAGCAAATAGTCATGAGCCCAGGGTTATCACTGAAAGAGGTGGATTTCCTGGGCGCGCATAGCACCAGATTGATCCGGCAATGGAACAACCCGTACTCACTCATACGACCACAGGTGTGCATTCATACCTTGGTCCTAGAGCATTGCCGGAGCCAACCCGATGGTGAGGCTATATGTGCTTGGGATGGTCCCATCACCTATGCAGAGCTTGATCACCATTCACTCGCAGTCGGACTCCGGCTGCAGTCACTAGGTGTTGGCCCAGAGTCCGTGGTGCCGCTGTACTTCGAAAAGTCACGCTGGACGGTGGTCGCCATCATGGGGGTGCTTAGGGCAGGAGCAGCTTTTGTCCTGCTCGATCCCTCTCATCCTATGGCTCGTCTGGCTGAGATTTGCGTGGAAGTGAAAGCAGCAGTTGCCATCGCCTCGGGGTCATTACAGGAACTGAGTCAGCAGTTGGGCCCTCGAGTTATCACGGTCGTCGACACAATCAAGGATCCAGCTGATACAGGCAGTGATACCATAACCACATGTGTCAATCCTTCAAACGCTGCATACGTCGCTTTTACTTCCGGCTCCACCGGAAAGCCCAAAGGGATCGTGATTGAACATCAGTGTTTTGTCGCAAATACACTGGCTCAAAATGCAGTCCAGAAAATTAATCGCCAAACTCGGGCGTTTCAGTTTGCCTCGTATGGGTTTGACAGCAGCATTCTTGAAACACTCATGACTTTGGTGGCGGGGGGTTGTGTCTGTATACCCTCGGAGGAGCAGCGGCTCAACGGCCTAGCAGATGCCATCCGAGAGCTGGGAGCCAACTGGCTCGAACTAACCCCATCTGTCGCACGGTTCATCAACCCTGAAGATGTACCGGACGTGCGATCTGTCTTGCTTGTTGGTGAGCCCATGTCTCAGGACCATGTCACACAATGGTCAGGGTCAGGGAAGGTTCAACTCCTCAACGCATATGGCCCTGCCGAGTGCAGTGTAGTGACCACTGTTCAGCCCCATGTACAATTTGAAGATCCCCAAAATATCGGCCGTTCATATAGCAGTCACTGTTGGATCGTCAACCCTCAAGATCATGATCAACTCGAGCCCCTTGGTGCAGTTGGCGAATTACTCATCAGCGGACCGATCGTGGCCCGGGGCTATCTCAACCAGCCCCACCAGAAGTCTTTCATCTCCAACCCTCGTTGGGCGACACGATTTGGCATTCCTCCAGGTGAACGCGTGTATAAAACTGGAGATCTTGCGCGATATAATCTCGACGATGGAACGTTGCGATATGTTGGCCGCAAAGACCGGGAGGTCAAAATCCACGGACAACGCGTCGACCTCCAGGAAATTGAACATCATACCTCCCAGTTTCAGAAGGGAATACTTTCAGTGGCCGATGTAATTCAACTCAACAGTAGCAGTGCGGGGAAACTCCTTGCTCTGTTTATCGCCACAGATAACGATGAGAGTCGCACGACGGAAAGCTCTGTTGTCCCCATGAATGACGACCTCCTCGATCTGGTGACTAACATCAAACACTGGCTTCGTGACTGTCTACCACCATACATGATCCCAACCAAATATATATTCATCAATCGCTTTCCTCTAACGAGAACTGGCAAACTCGATCGACGGGCCTTGGTTGATCTTGGAACAGCATCTAGTCAGTCACCGATTGGAGAGCACCCGTCGAGTCAGTGTGATAGAGAAGATGCCAACCTGGATACGGAGCTTCTCGCTAAGGAAAGGACCTTGTGTTCCGTGTTTGCTGAAGTTTTGGGGTGCATGGAAACAAACATCAGCGCCCAAGATGGTTTCTACGACATGGGAGGGAATTCATTGGCTGCTATCGAACTAGTAGCCCGTGCACGAAAGCGTGGTCTGGAGATCACTGTGGCGGATGTCATCCGTCTTCAGAATCCACGAGATATTGCGCGCTGTACCGCCGAAAGCGCGGAGGTTAATGAGATCTCGCCATTTTCTCTTCTTGTGGATACCGAACATACTATATCCACCGCCACTGCCCAATGTGGCATTGAGAGAGAAATGATTGAAGATATTTACCCATGCACCCCAGTACAAGAAGCCCTCATACATCTATCCATCAAGAATCCGGGAGCTTTCATGGGCACATACCGCTTCTCATTGGCTCCTTCTATGAACCTGGATCGGATCTGGGCTGCATGGGAACAGCTTTGGCTCATACATCCGATTCTCCGAACACGCATAATTCAACTTCGAGATGGTAAAACGCTTCAAGTCGTCACCAAAAAATCGTCCCCATGGAAAGATATCTCAGCCATGTATGATTCCCAGCCCATGAGCATTGGGACCTCTCTTGCACGTGTAACGTTCCATCCTGGACCGACTTCCAGCGGATCGGACTCTGGCATATTCCTGCTTACCATACACCATGCTCTGTTTGATGGATGGTCATATCTGCAGCTCCTCGAGGATCTTCAGGTGATTTACAACGGGGACCGACTACCAGCACGCCCTGCCTTTAATCATGTCATCAACTACATCTGCAAGTCAAACATCGAGGAAGCTCGCTCATTTTGGGCGCAAGAGTTCAATGATTTCCAGGCAATGATATTCCCTGTCTCTCCCCGGCGGTCACCTGCCTCACCACACTGGGAACTAAGAAGCCAGCAAACTGCCCTTGCTGAGTCAGATATGGACTGGACCCTCGCTAATAAAATCAAATTAGCGTGGGCTCTTGCGATCTCTTGCCAAACTCACTCGAATGATGTGGTATACGGATTGACAGTTTCGGGCCGGAACGCGCCAGTTCCAGAGATCGATCGTATTGCTGGGCCAACTTTTGCAACATTTCCTTTCCGCACGCAGCTTCATGATGAAATATCGGTGGAAGATATGCTGATCAAAATGCGACAACATGATATCTCCATCATGCCATTTGAGCATACTGGTCTCCGCCGTATCGCGGAGTCAAGCTCAGACGCAGCCCTGGCCTGTGCATTCCAGAATCTTCTCACCGTTAGGTTGCAGTCTCTTCAGATTCCTCCTGGCGCTTTGATTCATGTGCCTGAAAACAAAGACCATGACTTCAAGTTTGCGTCATATCCCCTGTCAGTCGTGGCCCAACAGCAAGGCAAATCTCTAGAGGTCAATGCCGTCTTCAATAGCCACATTCTGGCGCCCGATAGGGCCGAGTCACTCTTAGCGCAGTTTCATACACTGTTGCAGAGAGTCCTCCGGGAGCCCGGGGCAAAGATGAAGGATATAAGGAGCCAGATACCCCCCGAGTGGCAGCAATTGGCAGAGATAAACACAAAGTCCCTGCCCCACCTGCATTGCCTGCACGATATAATCCAAGACTTCAGTGTCACCCAGCCGAACTCAGAGGCTGTCTGCGCATGGGATGGCTCGCTGACGTATAAAGAACTTGTCGCGTTGGCGCAGAAACTGGCAGGCCATCTCCAGTCCTACGGATCCGGGTCAGAACCTGGCGCGGTCATTGGGATTTGCGTGGAAAGATCTAAATGGTTCCCCGTTGCCATCCTAGGCGTTATGATGTCCGGAGCTGCCATGGTTTTGTTAGAACCTAACTTCCCCGTACAGCGTTTGCAACATATCTTGCGAGATGCTGGGGCGCGAACGATGATATGCTCTCCGCTATACCAAGAGAAGTGCACTGGTATGGTCGATGATATGTTGATTCTGACTGCGGATACCCTGTCTCAAGCGGACTACGATGCTTGGACCCCATCAACGGTGTCTCATCAAGACCCAATGTATATTGCTTTCACATCCGGATCAACCGGTGCCCCAAAGGGCGTTGTCATAGAGCATGGCATGGTATATTCGATGATCCAGGCCCACAAGGACGTCATCGGCACATCAGCTACGTCCCGGGGCTTACTGTTCGCCTCGCCCGCATTTGATATCTGCCTTGCTGAGATTGTACTTCTCCTCGGTGCGGGGGGCTGCGTCTGTATGCCTTCTGAAGCTCAACGCATGAACAGCTTGGCGAAAACGATGACCGCCATGCAGGTCAACGTGGCCATGCTAACCCCTTCCGTGGCTCGTACCCTTTCCCCGGCCGCAGTCCCTTGTCTCCGAACCATGATTCTTGGAGGAGAGCCTCCATCAGCTTCTGATCTGGCCACATGGGCTTCACAAGTTCAGCTGCACCAATCCTATGGTCCCGCAGAGTGCGCTATGTACACGACAACTACTGCCCAATTGACCCCTACGTCAGATTTGGGCAACGTCGGATCATCTCCAAACGCGTCCTGCTGGATTGTTGATCCGGACAATCATGATGAGCTTGAGCCTGTGGGCTCGGTAGGAGAACTCCTCATCGGTGGGCCGATTGTTGGAAGAGGATATATCAATCGAGCCCAGGAGTCTGCAGCTGCCTTCATTCGTGATCCTGTCTGGAGCGATAAATTCCCCTTCTTGCGAGGTCAACGACTTTATAAGACTGGAGATCTCGCTGTCTTAAACGCAGACGGGTCGTTAACTTTGGTCGGCCGAAAAGATACGCAGGTCAAGCTCAATGGGCAACGGATTGAGCTACATGAGATCGAGCATTGTGCAGAAAGATATCAACATGGTACCGCGGTCATTGCGGAGTTGATAAAGCCTGTCGGCAATCAGAGACCCAGACTTATCATGTTTGTCTATGATCCTGCGACGGTTGAAACTACGGTGGTCGTCACGTCGGCTTGTCATGACCATCGGGAAGTGTTTGTCCCACCATCAACACAAGATCGAGCTTACCTTGAAGGTGTGAAACATTATCTCACCCAACACCTTCCACCGTACATGATACCGTCACTTTTCCTTCCGCTATCCCGTCTGCCGCTTAGCCCGAGTGGCAAGGCCGATCGCAAGACACTGCGCCAGATTGCATCTAAAATGGACAGAGAGACATTAGATATGTATCTGGACAATCCGGCGGTAGAGAAAAGGGAACCAGTCACAGAGCAAGAGCGATTTGTTCGTGCATGCTTTGCCACAGCGCTATCATTGAATGAGGAAGCCATTGGTATGGACGATAGTTTCTTCGCTCTGGGAGGCGATTCCATCACTGCCATGCGTGTTCTCACTTTGTGTCGGAGGAGAAACATGGCCATCTCGATGCAGGAGTTCCTCTCAAAGAACACTGTATCCTTATTTTGCAAACATGTCATTGTGATTCAGGGCGAGGCTGTCGCCAAACGCCAAAAGCTTCTGGACTCACAAGACTCCGTTCGAGGGAATGATCGTCTCGTCCAGTTTGAGCACATCGATTACCAGCTGGATATGGTTCGATCTCAGTTGAATTTGCTGAAGTCGGATTCAATTGAGGAAATCTACCCCTGCTCCGATGCGCACAGTGGAATCTTGGAGCTGTACACATCCAATTACACGAGTACTGCAATTTTCGAAGTTTCCCCTGCGGGATCAGTGACCCCGGTGCAGGTCAGCAACGCATGGAGTCAATTGGTGCACCGGCATGTGGCCTTGCGTACAGTTCTCATGAAAGAGCCAAAGGTTCACGCGGATTACCTTCATGTGGTCCTCGACAAGGGACCAGCTCAAATTCTTGCTCTTCCTCGCAGCGGGGATGCCCTTTCGGAACTGAAAAATATCGAACCAGTCCAATCCTGGGGTCTGTCACCACCACACCGGTTAATCATCGGTCAGGACCATTCTGGGACAGTGTTCATGAGGCTAGAAACGGGCCGTGCCTTGATTGACGCCTTTTCCATGACCATCCTACTAGAAGAGCTTTCTCTCATGCTGCAGGGTCAGCCTCTACCAGAGCAAGGGGTCTCATATCGTGAATATCTGTCCCATTTGCGTGCCCAGTCACCTACAGAAACACTGCAATATTGGACACAGTCGCTTTATGGAGTCTACCCTTCCCACCTACCCAGAATACCCGCGACGCAGTCCTCTCTCGCCGAATCCCGCTCGCAGACCCGCTGCCTTCCATTCGCGCAATCAAAACGTCTTGATTCCTTCTGGCGCTCCAATAACCTCACCATAACCAACGTTTTCCAGCTGGCGTGGGCTTTAACCCTCACCCACTACACCAACTCCCGCGATGTGTGCTTCGGAACCATCACGTCTGGACGTGACACTCCCCATCTGGAAGTATGGAATATTGTCGGATCATTTTTCAACGTTCTTCCATGTCGAATCGCAATTGATCCCAAGCGCTCAGTGCTAGACACCCTCCGACAGAACCAGGAGGATATTCAGCGTCGAAATGACCACCAGTACTGTTCCATGCCAGATATAATCCGGAAGTCAGGAATAAGAAGTCTGGACGATGGCCAACAGCTGTTTAATACAGTTCTGACGGTGCAGAACCCGTTCTCGACGCAATCATCTACTGGGAAAGATGGGAGCAATGAGATCGATATCAAACTAATCGATTTGGAAGATGCAACTGAGGTGAGTGGCTTTGACAACTACTTGTCCATGATCAAACTAATACTAATCCTTCTAGTATGACCTTTGCGTGGCTATTCTTCCCTCCGATTCCCACTTCAAGGTGGAATTACGCTACTGGTCGACGACCGCATCTGAGGAATATGCCTCGGATATTCTAGATCGTCTTTTCGATCAGTTGGAACAGATTGTGCATCATGCGACTAAACCATTGAGTGCCATCACCGGTGTTTAATAACAACCATACATCTCTTACGTGTTTTCATGATCTTTATACATAATGTGCTCTTTTTGTATTTACTTTCGGAGATTGCTCTTTTGATATTTCATCTGTTTGTACATGCAATACTTCCGGGTCCCGGCTTGACTCCTAGCCAGACAAAATAAAGATATACTATTGGAATATATCCACTACGAGTCCAAGTATCAGATTCCAAGGCAATATCATATCCTAGAACTGGTCTAAAATAATAGAGAAAGACAAAACACATAGACAGCCACATTGTGGATGAAACGCCATTCGCACCCGTTTTCCATACCCGAACACGGTTCTAAGACTGGTGCCAACTCAAATTTTTGAGGGAAGTCCCGTCGCGGAAGGGAAAATATCGAAAAAGATTCCATGTACACAAAAGAAATGGGAAAAATGGGGGAAAAAAAGAAACAAAGATAAAAAGGCAGGACACAGGTTAAAGGGCAGTCCGGAGTACCGAAAATCAAACAAAAATATTGCCCCATAGTCGCTATGCCATCGCAGGAGAAAATAAACGGAAATCACATGTCCATCAGCAGTCCATCTCCTCCGAGACGTTATTTGGTGGAATTGCTTCGATGCAAGATCTGTACATTGGTCGCACTAGTACCACTGCCGACCGATCGTCGTCGCGGGCGAACCTCACTGCCGCTTCCGCTCCGTCGCCGTCGGCCAGTGCTGCGGATCGAGCCTCGGCGTCTTGTCTGGAGCAAACGGACGTTCTCACGTTAGAATCACGCTGACTATACATGGGCGGACGTGGTCTCTTAGCAAAAGACAAGAACGAGGGCGATAGGGCCAGACAAAAAAAGGTATTTCGGGAATGCACGTATCTGGGCAGCAAAGCAGCACGGATCAGAGATGCACGGGACTTACCGAGTTAGGGGTGCCTTCCCGGCTGGGTCGATCCTTGGAAATGTCGGGATCCTCTTGCAATTTCAGGGAGTTCAACCGCTTTTGGCTCTCGTGCGTCATGGCTTCTACCTCGTCGATCGGCTCCGGCACGTCAAGAGGCGGGGGTGGTGGTGGGGGAATGCCATTTTTCCGATCTTTGGCCTGTTGTTCAATCACGTCCCACCGGTCCGTGCGAGTCTTTTCGCGTTGGTCTGCGTTGTTTTGGTGCTCCGTGTAATCATGAGAGCATTCATCGAAGAGTTGCGGGTTAATCTCCATGAACATCTTCATGGCATTGTAAACCATGCTGTGAATTGTTCTGAACGAATGGTCAACTCCTATCGAAGGGGGTAGCATATGTAGATCAAACTAACCGGTTCCAGTGTCCCTTCGAGTTCTCATAAAGGGGCGCAAACATAAGGGGGAGGATTGTCTCCACATTGTCGCTCACAAGATTACAGAAGTACTCGTTGTTCCAGAAGTACAAAGCACGTTCAGCAACCTGGAAATGAGGACTGGCAACAGACTTGGCCAACTGATTGAACAGAGGCTCCTGGACTTTGGCGAACTCGCCCGGATCCATCACCTCGAAGATGTCTTCCACCTCGTTCAGGTACATAACCTCCTTGGTGCTGTTGGTCTTAGGCCAGAAGCGCAGTAAGCCGAGGACGACCTAAACATAGTGGTTAATACTTAAGCTAGATTGGATAGGGATAGATAATGGCTTACATCCTCAGTCAATGAGGAGTCCTTCTCCAAAAATTGCACGATGCAGTAGGCCAATTGCGGGTGGTACATGCTAAGACTCTTCACCTTGTGCATAGGCAGGAGCACTCGGGTCAAAAAGAGCTTGTGTTCCTCCTTCAGTGGCAAAGCGAATCCGTTGATAATGGAGCCCAGAATCTCAAGCAATTCGGCGATTCCGTTGTGGCGTTCTGTCTCGTACATGAATTGGAAGAAGACGTTGTTGATAGATCGACGGATATATGACCGTAAGTTCAAGAACTTTCCATAAATGCGATGCAGGGTTGTCTTGAGGAAGTCACGTTCGCGGGGATCTTCCGAGTCAAAGAGGTCCAACAACTAGATGTAGCATTAGCTTGCAGTACATGGAAATCGAGCATCAGAAGACATACCGAAAGCACAAATTGATGATCAATATAACCCTTCGCGATGTTTGTGTTGAAATCCTGGCTTTCGATGAATCTTAGGAAGAATTCATATACTACCTGAATATGAGGCCAAGCGACTTCCAAGACAGGCTCATCCTCCTCTGGGTCGAATGCCTCGCCCTGGGGCGTCATAGGCGGAGGAATAGGACGGAACAGGTTCTTGGCGAACATCTCCACCACACGGGGATACATGGGCTCCGTAATCACCGACCGGTTGTTGGCAACATAATCCAAGAGTTCGTGCAGTGCCAACCTCTTGATCTCCTTGGATTTCATATCGGCCGTCGGGTCATTGAAATCGAAGATGATATTACACTGGTCGATCTTTTGCATAAACAAATCTTGGCGTCGGTTGGGAGGCACTTCGTGGAATCCCGGCAACTTCTCCAACTCTCTCTGCCGCTGATCGGAAATGTCGAATCGTGAGGAATGCTGGCGTTTGGGTGTCCGGATACCTTCCGACATGTCCTTGGGCGTTGTCTGTAGGCGGTCGAAAACATGAGACTTCCTAGGAGGCGCAAGATCTCCGGGCATCGTTTCGGCAGCGCCGGGAGGGGGGACATGCTGTAGAATCCAAGTTAGCAAATGCAAACAGTTACCAAAGTGCGAAATGATTGAACTTACTGGTGCACTTGGGCTAATGATGACGCTAGGGGCCGCTGGCTGGCCTTGCCTATTCGGGGTTCCTGGTCCATTGCTTACAGGCTGTCCCGCGACGCCCGCTTGAGGGATATAGTGCTGAACCGGGGTACCAGGGTGAGGTGCGCCCGCAGAGGGGGTTCCCGCGGGGGAAGCGTTGTCCGGCGATTTGTTTCGCGAGTCATTGAGAGAGGTTGTGGATGATGTAGGTGTCCCTTGGTTGGGAGAAGTAGACTGCTGTGTGTTGGAAATACCGAGGGACTGATTCTGTGTGGAGTCTTTCTTTTTCGAGGACTTGTTGTCTTTCGCCCGCGACAACTGGTCGTGCTAGAAGCAAGGCCCAGTATGTTAGATTATTTGGGAAAAGAGGAAGAGAACACTAGCCGCATGGCGAAGAAGGGAATATATGGGCAGAGGCGATCGTGGGATGAGGTGACTTGGGTAGGATACGCGGGTAACTCACCACTCTCTGTCTGAAACCCTTCATTTTGAACGACTATGTAGATTGCCGCATGTACTCGGCTAGGTTTCTTGGTGCCAGTGCAGCCAGGCGGCGCACTCAAGCCGGAGTGAATCGAGGGGAGCCAACGGAGATAACCGCTCAGGAAAGCGGGGAAGGTGTAGAGAGGGGGGGCGGCCAGGGGAAGTGTTTGGATCGACCTAATAGGAGAATCTCATAAGCGGTCCGAGTCACACAGCATGTAAGACAAGTATTGTGAATAAACAGGGTCCTGAAATCTTGATACCAAGCCCCATCATGCGTAGAGGAGTAGCTGAGGTTCAATGGCAACAGCACCAAGCGCTCCAAACAATGTGCAGTCGCAGCACGCGCACGGGGCAAGACGATTTGATGCTGGGAAGAAAGGGCCAACAAGGCAATGGGAGATGGGTGTCTGATCAAACGTACCGCCGTGGTTTAAGGTTGGACAATTGACAAATCGAGAGGGAAACTGCTTAGGGAGAGTTATAAGACGAGCTCGGCGCTGGAGGGTCTCCGTGTCGCTTAGTGGCAGGCTGGGAGCGGGGGATTTGGGGGTACCAGAGGAACGGGCACTCAGGTCACAGCCCACGGCGAAAGCACGAAAGACACGATCTGACTAGCAAGAGACAAAATCAAATACGTAACAGAGACCAAATAAAGATGATGGCGTTGGGTTGTGGGGGAGGAGGGAGGGAAGTGGATTGTTGTTGAGGTGTAGGGAAAGGCGGGCTGGTTCTCCTGGCTGCGATGGTGATGGGAGGGGGAGACCACGCCCAAGTACTCTATGGGGACTCTACGTTTTCTAAGTGAATTATATATCTTGCTTCAATTTGAGAGAATCAATTTATAAATTATTTCCCCCTTCTCACTCACTCCTTATACGAGTTTATCCTTTTTCCCACTTGTTTCAAGTCCCGCTTATGTCATGGTGCACGTGACTACCAGGGGAACTCGAGTTTCAGGCACAAACATAAAATATCACCAACTCCCCAGTTGAGCCCTGAATATACCTATACAGCTCTGGGGATATCTAGGTAATCAATGTAATTGAATAATATTAATATTCAAAAGGTGGTGATACAGTTCATGGATATATCCCTTCGAGTCAAACAAAAGCAGACGTGGAAATGGAGATATAAAGAGGTCTGTGCTTTGACCCACAAATATCCAACTTGGACTTTGAACAAGTTCAATGTTCATATTTGAAAAGATTGTAGTCAAAAGTTATAGAAAGGTCCATCGCACGGAGCCTTTCTCCCCATTTTTTTTTTACCGTCGACCTGTGAACTTGATACATCTACACAGAATGATCCACGGATAACTGAGATTACCACTGAATGAACATCACAGAGCCGCTTAGGCGGCCCAGTACTAACCGGCCCAGTATTCTTGTACTTATATAAACTGATATTGTGGCCTATAATCTGTTGGGTATGGCATCATTGGGTCGAGGATATAATGAGATTAAAGACTATGGTTGACTTATTCTACTACATGTGCACACACTATGTCGATATTTATATATGAAGCAGTACTTGTATAAACCAGAAGTTTTGAGGGACGTACAAAAGAGAAACACGCATCAGAATGAGTAGCATGTGATTGATTGCAATAGAACTCCGGACCGGCTAGAACCTGGCTTCGAACTATGCTGCCCAAAGCCACCCAGCACCTCCTTCTCCGGTTGGGAGAAGGACGACAGATCAACTGGGGAGCCGCGATCTGTGACTTTCATCCGGCTATCCAGGCTTCTGTGAGAGCTTCCGGGACTCCGAACGAAAACGGGATGAGCTTTTTTATGAGGGTCCTCTTGCAAGGATTCCCTCTGGATCTTCCCGAGCTTTTGTCTGACAGTTCTTCTGAAAGGAATTCCCCTAGGTCTTCCTAAGCTTTGAATAGCTTCCGCCGCTTTACATAATACTTTGTGGTGGGCTTAAATGATTGCACCACTTGGTGCATATGGATAACGTGCTTTCTTTGGAAGGATTATTTTCTGGCGGGTTTCGTTACTTCCTGGATCCTTTAGCAGCCTTGGCTCTGAACCATAAACAATCGTCTTTTATCCATGGAATAACTTCGATACCATAACAGACAGAGACGCCTAGATACATAGATGGAAACACCATGAGCGACCAGCGGGATCTTGGGATAGCGTAGTGATATCATGTTCAATTAATGTGTCCTTCACTTAATTACAAAGCCCTTCAACAACTGCTGTAGAATGTCGTGCTGTGATTATATCCACTTTAGCTGGTAAGCTACTCGAGCCACTTATACTTACATTGCTATTCGCCAAGCCTCTTCCAAATTCATGAAACCTCATTGGAACAGCACTAAGACCAGTGGCAGTGCAGCAATGAGGGCTCTCTTCAAGCTCAGATGCGTGCTTGCTGTAGCACCGTTTTTATCACCCGTGCCACTACCACCGGCAGCTGTAATTTCCGCCGCATTGGTGTAGTAAAGACTAGCAGCTGTCTGGGTGCCTAACTCATCAACGGCAGTGCTACACGGCAAATTGCTTGCCGATGTCTTGGACCATGCACCTGCGAAAGGATAGAATCCCGTCGTTTGGGGATTGGCGCTACAGTAGGCGCTAGAGACCCCCATCACGTAACTCTTCGGGAACCAGTGGTAGCCTGGGTGGAAGTTAGCATTTCTGATGGAATGAACATCATGGCAGGATATGACGTAGAAAGACCCACCTTCAATGCCTCCATGCTTTCTGAAACACTCCTGACAACCCATCGCCGAGTCAAAGAAGGGATATATGTCACAAAAGCATTGCTGTTGGACGTCCCAATCACCAGAATACGTCTCGAGGCCTGAGAACGTACCGTTCGTGTTTTGGAAGTAGCAATTAGCATTGATTGCCGCTTGTCGTTTACACGGGGCCTCGTTGATTAGATAGGTAGGCTTTGGGGAGATTGCTCCAGTCGCGTCATCCCTGCGAAAGTTGTGGTGTGGCAGCGGGTTATGCGGCAGGTAACATTCATTGTAGAGATCAATGTCAAGGTCGGTCAGACCAGACTCCTGGGATGAGACAAGATAGAACCTGGAGACATAGGCGCCGTTTGGGAATACGGGGTATTCTTTGGAGGCGGTGACTGAAGCAGCCGTACTAGAGGATGTACTGGAACCAAAAAGATCGCCGTATCCGTAGGATGAAGTGGGTTCCAGGGACGTTATAGATGTTACAGGGGCCGGCATCGTGAAAGGGGTAATCATTGGAAGTCCATGGTGATCGCAGGTGGACCACGGGAAGAATGCTTGGCAATATCTGACCAATCAGATCTTTCCATGTATGAGCCCTTGGCAGTGATAGCTATAGGTTCATTCTTGGTTACGCCATCTTACAAGAGAGCAATACATTTAAAATATCCTGTTGGCTTCGTATGGATCGAGAATAGGATGTTGTTGGGAGTTTCGAGGCTGGCGGCGTTGGGTGATAGACTGCCTAGACCCAGCTCATGTTTGAGTGAGGCTTGCGGCAAACACCTGTAGTTGTTGGCCCTTTGGCATCCGAGCCATTTGTGACACCCTGATATTAGACTTGGGCTACTTTCAAGAGGTATCTTCATGTCTCTGCACTGAAAATCGTGATAAAAGACCGGATCGAGTCTACTGCCAATTTGCAGAGGTCAAGTTCGGACATTGTTGACTGCTGATCAGTGTTAGAACCGATCACTTCGAAATACGCGGCAGAACTCTTCAGAACATCCTTGAAATGCACATCTGAAGACCTCCACGCATTCTCGGTATCCTGCGAAATTGATGCCTTTCGCCTTTGATCATCAGTGTGGGGAGGATATTCCACGTAAAAGGCGTAATTGCAGTTTTGAACCTGTCAACCTAGGTTAATATTTCGTATTTTGTGTTGTAATCCTTTCCTGATAAACGCACCTTGCCTTCAAATTCCAATAGCTGCTCTGTGTCATTCGGAAATCCGGAGATAATTGTCCGCGTTCGTCCATCCACGGCTTTGATCTCATTTTCGAGGACTTCGACAATCAGACTAGCCGGCACTTCAAACCCTTTATCCAGACAACTCTTGATGATTCTGTGATGGCGATATTGGGGGTCTTCCGACCTTTCGCGAAGTGTTTTATTCACAGAAATATGGTGAAGCAAAAGTTCCCCTGAGACGTGGTTGGCGACCGTTTCGCAGGTGGTAGGATCGCCTGTAGCAGGTTTAGCGTGGAAATTCAAATGTCTTATATATCACATACCGGCGAGGAAGATGATAGGTAGTCGCCTTTTTCGTTTGGCGAGATGATCGTCCCTTTCCCGACATAAGGACTCGGCCCACTGGGTTGCTTCTTTGGAATGAATCTTCGCTCGAAGCCCTTGAAACTCGTCAAGATCTGCTTTACCAAAGGTTTTCTGTTCGTATTCGTGCGCCTGAACTAGACACTCAAACTTGTCCATCTCCTTTACCCATTTGGCTTCTGGTGTTTCGCCTTGTTCGTATTCCAACCATAGGTCGCTGATTTCTGTTGCTTTTTTGGGGCTATAAGTTTGGAGCAGGTTTTCTAAATATTGGAATCCGTTGCGTTCCATGTCGTATTTTCGGCCTGTCCAGGTGACAGTTGTGAGCTTCGCGAACACAATATGAGAACTTGGAAAACTTACCTTTTGCAACCCCGGCGAACGTTGGGATATCCCCTATGACCGACTCTGCTAAATCGTGAATTAAAGCCATCTGTATGCATTTGGCCTTATCTAGATTCAAGTTGTCCTGAAGATATTAGCCGTGGAAAGAAAAAAAAAGGGACTGGGAGATCAATCTACCGGAGCGAGCATGGCTAGAATAGCTACCCGAAAGCTATGTGCTGCCACAGTTTCGGGATTCCGAATCGTTCTAAGCCATCCTGTTCGTGGTAAGTGCTTCAGTGTCTCTATCGCATGTAGAAATGCCAAGGGTGTGGCTTCCATGATCACAAAAAGAAGCTTTACCCAAGTCGTCTGGAAGATATATGAAAGAGTAACTTTTATACTGACGGGATAACCCCTCTTCTCCACTCCCGCCCCTCAACGGGGGCCACCGAAAATATATAAAGCAGCATTTACATTACACGTACTCTTCCCATACTCATCTTTAAAAATTGTATTTTGCCTACCAGGGATGCCCTTTCTGGGTTATAGAGTTCACAAGAAAGGGCGTACAACTAGTCGTTACAAGTCACAGTCAAAGGAGAAGCAGGAAAATGGCAGGGAAGTCTCAGGGAGCATCTGAGTACTAGAGCGCAGTGGGCAGTCTGTGAAAATGGAGATCTAGTTATCAGGGTTCTTTAAATGTCAGCTCAAGATATTCTATTGAAATATTTCAAATATTTCTTCGAAGGATGCCTTGTCTTGTCAGTTGTAGTCCCCGATGAGTCGAACCGTCCACAGGTCCTCGGGAGATGATGAGTCAGCGGTATTCCTTCCCCTGGGCGCACTAACCGCTTGTGGAATGTAGACTCGATTCTTTCCCCAAACCTGAGAGATATCACTTGAACCCTTTTATTGTCGCGCAAGTGAAGAAAAACATAAAATTCCACAAAAACAGGTGTATTGAGCCAAGATCACCGGAGAAAAGTGGTAGCGTGGTCTTTGATCGCATTTGCGCAATCCAAGCCGAGAGCAAACCAGAGACAACCACAACCAACATCAGTTGGGACTGAAAGTTGGGGCAAATGATATTACAACCACAGCATCCACGAGTCTGAAATAAAAACAATCAGCATGGATGACCAGCGAGGTTCTAGATCTGCTCCCTTCTACGCGGTGCCATCTCGTCGCCTCGTCAGCGTCGAGCACCCTGCCATTATCCGCAATGTCGATAAGGCGATCGAGACCCTACAAGGCAACAGAGGAATTAAAGCAGTGAGAATGAACCCCCATGTGAGAAAACGTTGAATATATACTGATGTATACAGATTTTGGACCCGCAGCCGGGCAAAGAAGGCAACCCAGCTAATTTGGTATTGCGGCCAGAAGACGCCATGGCTCGATCAGTCCAGTCAACCATCGTCCAATCAAATAATGTCCTGCTCAAAATCACTGTCCCCAAGCGGACAGGACGCAGGCGGAAGATAGGCTCGAACGAGCCTTTTACAGATGCACCAGAGTCAGAAGCATCTAAGCTGCCCTCGCGACGGACCGCTAAGGACCTCCTGCGCAGTCTGAGTGATAATCCTTCCAAGTATCAGATTGAGCCAGTCGGGAGAGTTGAACGGACACATGTGTTCCGAGGTACGTTCACATCTCTATTGATCTATTGCTTGTTTGCTAATGTCTGATATCAGGAATACCTGATTTCGTTTACTCTACTACAGCAAGCCCCTTTACGAACCGATTCCGAGATCAGATCCTACCATTCGACTGTAAGTTTGCCTGTAATACACTACACCAAGAGTGTACTAACGAACAACAGTCGACAAAATGAAACAATTTGATATCGACATGTCCAAAGGCGCCACCACAAATGCAGATATCATCCCACCACCATCATTCAGCCACGGAGACGTCCCATTCCACTACATGTTAGACCCACTACACCCAAAGACCAATTCTGACCACCAGGCCACTAACCTAACCCGCAGCTACCGCCAAAACCCAACAGTGAAGCAAGCAATCGGACGCTCGGGCGAACTAGAAACCGTGAACACCCAAACCGCCAGCAAAATCCTTACCCACCTAGTCGCCTACGACATTCCCGAGGTCCCATCACAGCCACGCGCAAACATGCTCCCAATAAGCGCACTAGATGCCGGCATGCTACGAACAATCGCGAACCTAAACGCCCTGTACGAAAAACAACCCGCCTGGACACGTCGTGGACTCCGCAACAACCTCAAAAGCGACGAAGACCGCCTGAACCTCCGCTACGCAATTCCATACGTAGGCTACATCTTCCGCTCGGGACCATGGCGCGACGCAATCATCAAACTGGGCGTCGACCCACGCACCTCACCAGAATACCGCTACTACCAAACCTTCATGTTCCGCCTCCTAGCACGGGAAGCCGAGCTAGCGCGTGACGGCGGCGGCGGACGCCGGCACAACGTCCCACGACCCAGTGACCAACGCGTGATCGAAGAAGAAGGCTTTACCGGGCCGTCGACTGGCCATATCTTCACCGGCAAGCAACCATTTGCACAAGACGGACGAATCTGGATGGTTGGTGATATTGAGGATCCACAGCTGAAGGCCGAGTTATTCCCCCCCGATGCAGGACCTGGCTTCCTTCGTAGCGAGTGTGACGTCGTTACAGATGGATGGTTTGGGAATGGAACACTTGCAAAGGCGAAGGCAGTAATGAGACATAAGATCCAGGCATTGATGGAAGGACGGGAACCAGATGATCAGGATTATGTGAGGGTTTTGCGTCTTCCAGCGCATGCGCGGTCTGAGGCTGATTTCCCGCTTTTCACGCTTGATCCGGAGATTGCGACGCCGAAGGAGATTACGCTTGCTACGGAGATTCGGGCGATTATTCGGAGTTCGCCGGTTTGGAGGAATTTGACGGCTAATGCTGGGTTGGTTCGGAGGGAGATTGGGGAGGGCAGGGGCAAGGTTAAGGGGAAGATGGCTTTGAAGGGGAAGGGTGTTGAGCCGGAACCGGAGCCTGAGGCTGAAGCTGAGAAGATTGTTGAGGAGAGTGAGGGTGAAGAGGAAGAGATTCAGCGGAGGGAGATGTTGGCTGCTCAGGTTGCGGATGCTGTTGCGGCGAGGGATGCTGATGAAGCTGATGAAGACGATGAGGATGAGAGTGATGATATGGATGAAGATGAGGACGAGTAATGCGGACTCCTAGTTTACTTGAGGGTTGGCTGGCTACGTCTACAAATAGTCCTTTGTGTTTGAGATAGTCATCAAAGAATTGTTTTGATCATTGCTAAAGCTATCGGCACCTCGGAATAGATCGTGAAGCATCAGACGTAACACAGATAATAGCTCATGGATTAGACGGGATAAAGAAAGCTAACCGGAAGTGGTTGCAATAGTGGAGTCAAAAGAGATACATAATTCGTAGCGACCGTGATAAAAACACCCGATAGGTTGAACACCAGTAGAAGGATAAACGCCAAACAATCAAGCAAATAGGTATATATATATTGAGGCCGAACCCAGGCCAAGGAAGAGCGCCACCGAACCGGATTTAGATGCAGATGCAAGGAATGACGAGCAGGCAAATCAAAGAGCAGACGTGGTGGTACCAGCTTCCTCAGAGATTTGTTGCTGGGTATCAGCAGGGCTGGAAGTAACCGCATCCAAAACAGACGCGATGGAGGCAGTGATAATGGTCTCCTGGCTGCGGGCAAGAGGCGAAGAAGGCTTCTTGAACTCGGGCGCGTGCTGTTCATCATCATAGACAATTGTGCATGAGAAAGCATTGCAGTCTTCAGCATAGTATTCAGCAGCATTGAGTTCACCGAGCGGAGAACGGAGTTCATCCATCTTTGGTGCCTTGCGAGCAGCGGCAGGAATAGCGGTAGTGGACTGGCGAGCGCTGGGGAGTTCAATGCCCAGTTCGTGCGGGGGGATGTTCTCCTTTCCACGGGTGCAGGGTGGGTCGGACTTCCCCTCGTCGTCACTGATATCCAAGACAGTGGTCGAGTGTTGCATCAGATTGGTCATTTCTTCTTGTTCGGTGTCGACGTGGATATCGAAGCACCATGAGGCCGGGGTCTTAGGAGCAGGAGCAGGCTTGGGAGTTTTGGATTGAGCGAGGACGGAAGCAAGAGAGAAGGGACGAGCGATGCCGCGCTTGCTATATTGCTCTGAGCGGGGCTTGGCGATGAGCGAGCGGCGAGTAGCCGACTTGCTGGACTTTGGTGGTGGGGAGCGACCAGCAGGCTTGAGAATGGGAGCTGATTTGGGAGTTGTAATTGAGATCTTCGAGGGGGTTGAGAGACGGGGGGAGATGTTGATGCGGGTGGAAAGAGCCACGCGGGATGTTTTGATGGGCTTGGACGCGCTGTCCTCATCTTCGAAAGAGCGTTTGCGTTTTGTGGATAAGCTAACTGGATTGATGTTCTCTGCATCATCGATGAAGATAGTGCTCTTCATGGTTGACTTCATAGAGACTGGGATTGTAAGCTAAACCATCTTTGGAAGATCAAAACAACATCACATACCATTTTGATTCTGACAATTAAGTTGGGAACGCATTAATGGCATATCCAAACAGCCCAAAGGCTGACGAGTAGGAGTCATAGTGAGAGTGGCCATAGTGAAGAAGAGAGAGAGAGAGGGATGTTTTGTTTTGGTCAGCGCCAAGTGGGGGAGGATTGGCGGTCTACAATGGGCACTAGGGCCGATCGTAGGATTCGAGGATGTTAAGACCAAATTAAATAAACGAGAGGAATTGCTTGAATGAAACTTGGAGATGAATGATTGAATGAATGAACCAGTAGGATATGGTACGTTGAGAGAGAGCACGAGGGATTCGTGAAGTCGTGCAGAGAGTAGATATAATAAAGAGCTTAGTTTAGTAGGAGTATTTAAAGGCAAGGAGAATATGAGGAGTCACAATGGAGGGAGAAGGGAACTATTTCAAGGTAAAGGCGCGTCGCGTTCACGTCAATAGAGGGGCGTTTATGCAAAGTCCCAGCACAATCCAATTGACGAGTTTCATTCTTGTCTCGAGACAATGTAGATCTTCTACGCGCTTTTCCGTATATTCTACATATTTAGTATATATTTAGTATACTCTAGTATTCCATACTCGATACATAATTAATTCTATATTTCCCTAGCATTATTTGTACAATTAAATACCAAAATGTTCTCAAAAGTCGAATAGTCCCCTGAACACTGCATAGTCGCGTATCCCTTGAACGCGTCAGTCAGCAGCCCAGGTACCCAGTACTTGGCATCCACCCACTAGTGCATACAGCGCGTAAGTACCAACTACCTCCACGCTCCACGTCTTACTTCGCGACTTCGCGTTCACGTCTCTTCCTTGCATACTGTTCGCTCATTCGTGAAGAAGAGCGTCTACAATTGACACTAATAATATGTTGCATGAAATATTTAATAAAAGCTCTGCCAACGCATCAGTCTCCATTGGCCACCCTCAGGTTACCGGATGAAACCATGCATGCAGAGGCCGATCGGGGCCTGGGGTTTGAGGTGAATGTGGAACATCGGAGTACTGTCTCAGGGTAAAGTCTGGTGTCTGGGGGATCACACTTAAGGCTGGGGAATGTTCTGTGGACTATCCAGGTGATTCACGTAGAAATTCTCCCCTAAAGGCTGTTCCAAGGCGTAGACCTCGGGAATGATGGAGGGTTATTAATAGGGATATTACACCTGGGCCTAGACAGGTTTTCCAAGGTTTAATGCTGCCCACGACCCCCTACTCCTCGTGGTCTCTGATCATTTCACCTGGGCGGATTGGTCCTTGCATTCCTCGCGAAAACGAGAACTGATGCATTGTGCCATGTATAATCGCGTAGGCATTCACCACAAGAAATGCCGACCGGAATAGTCTATATGGAATTCTTGTCTCTCGTGATATATTAATGTACATGATGGCAGCTTCGTGGCAATTATCTTAGACCTCATCCTCAAAAGGAATGCTATCCATGGCACCCCGGCGTTCCACAGCCCGAGCCGAGGCGCGAGTAGCCAAATGCATCGCCTCGTCCATGACCGTCTTGTACCGGTATGCCTTCTCATCGTCCGAGACATTCTGTCCAGCCTTGCCCTCGACCCGACGTTGCTCGCGCCACCGCGCCACTCTGACCGCATAGGCTCCAACAAATGTATCACCCGCACCAGTGGTATCCAACACGTGAGAGACAGAGGCAGCTGGAATCTCGTTGGTGAAGCGCTGTAGTCCATCACTGGGTCCGGACCAGCCGCCATCTGCGGCACTATACCAGACGCCCTTCGCGCCGAACGTGATAAGGATGTAAGTGACGCCCAGTTTGTGGAAATACCGAGCAACCTTCTCCTTCCCATCCAAGCCCTCAGCATCCGGCACCGTTCGAAGCAATTGCTCTGCAGGCGGAGTCATCAGCTCAGCCTCTGTCTCATTTAGGATCAAATGATCGACAGCAGCGTATACATCCTCGGGCAAGCCACCAGGTGGCGCCGGTGCCGGGTTGAGCATAACATCCGGGCCACACTCAATGCCGCGTTTCCCTGCAGAGCGAGCTTTGAACTTGTAAGCTGCGATCTCACGTAGTATTCCAATAGTCGTGTCCACCGGGATCTCGCCCTGCATCACGATGACATCGGGCACGGGCGCTGTTAGTGCCATTCCTAGCACCTCTGGGGTAGGCTGCATGCCATCGTAATTTGCGCCCGGCGAGAAGAGGATGCGGTTCTCTCCGCCGGCTGAAGAGTCCACAATGATTACAGCCACGCCGGTGTATGCTTTCTCGACGACTTTCACTCGGGACGGGTCGACTCCGGACCTCTCGAGGGTCGGTTTAAGCAATGACGAGAAGTGGGCATCTAGAGCTCCTACTGCGCCCATCATCTCAATATTGACATCGCCTGTAGAGTCTGTGGTGCTTGTTGGCTTGGTTCGAGACATGCGCCCGCATGCCACGGCTTGGTTTGCGCCCTTGCCGCCCGCGCTGGTAAAGTATGATGAGGAGGTGATTGTCTCGCCTGGGTCTGGGAATCGGGGCGTAACTGAGACCATGTCCGCATTGAGAGATCCAATGACTCGGATGAGGGGTGTCATGGTGGGGAATGTGGTTCGCGTTCGCTCAAGGATTGTAGGCCGGGGGGCTGGTAATGTCTTTGGGTCGGGCTGGGAAATGCGGAAAGCGTTGGGAGGGTGTACTTGCGATGTGTGTAAGTCTTGAAGACCCGAGAGTTTCAGATACACAATCCAGGCGAACAGTGACAGTGGAAATATTTGGCCAGGTAATTGTGACAGGCAGTCCCGGAGTGGGAAATGGATTGGAATGACGTCTAGGCGGGGCCCATCGGATGTGGAATATGTGGGGCCGGCAGTGACAGTTCTGTGGATCCGATCTATAACGTACATCAACGTCTATTTTGACAACATACCAAGGTACAAATTATCAAATTTGAAATAATGGACTCATGGGAAGTTTGGTGGTCTTGTTCTTACAATACATTATATATGCTAGAATCCAAAAGGGAAAAAGGGTAGCTGAAAGGAGATGGAGCACATAAGTGATATCATGTTCATCCCCCATCAACTCACATCACTAAATTTCACTATTTCCATCAAGCTAAGAGAGAGGGAAAAAAAAAAAAAAATCAGGATTGTGCCCAAGCTAAACAAGAAGTGCTCTATATGATAAGAGATAAAAAAAAGGGAAGCCCCCCTTAGAAATGATCCACTCCTGGGGTCGAACCAGGTAATGTCCTTTCCAGCGACCTCCCTATCACGACTCGGTCAACCACGGCAATCAGGGTTAGTGCTCCGGGAGTAAACCAAGGAGTTAACCACTGAGCTATAAGGGGGCTTCGCTAGAAATCACACATTTAACTCAACCAAAACAGACCCCTACTAACATATTAGATATGATACCTTTCTCTCACTAACCACTGTAGTCAAAACAACAAGAGAGAAAAAAAAATCAGGAGTGTGTTAAAGCAAAATAAGGTAATATCTTTCATTTAAGAGATAAATAAAAAAAAGGGAAGCCCCCCTTAGAAATGATCCACTCCTGGGGTTGAACCCAGGCAATGTCCTTTCCAGAGACCTCCGTCTACCGCCGGCATCAGCGTCAATACTCCGGGACTGAAACCAAGGAGTTTAACCACTGAGCTGCAAGGGGGCTTCGGTGACAATCACACATTTAAACTAACCATAACAGACCTCCACCAATATATTAACAACAACCTCTTTTCTCCCAGCAACTACCTTTGACTTTACTACATCAACTTAACTATAACATAGGCTAAGTCAAGAAGAAATTAAAATTAATCTATATCAAGTAGGAACAAAAGACACTGTGCAGCCTCGGTTACTGGCGCCCCAGAAGTCCCGGCTTTAGGTGAAGGTCAACATGGATGTCAATTGTATTCAACATCTTCAAGAGGAGTGGGCACTAATTGCTGGGTGATGCCTCCCTTAGCAGGATAACATAACATTCTGCTAATCCACTTAATTGGGTAGATATTGTGTAAATGGAATCTCATTTGGTCTAACCTCCCCTTGACTTTCGCAATCCTGGGGTCGAACCAGGCAGTTCACACGTTCCAGTGACCTGAGAACCACGGGCCACTATTTAATGTAGTCACACTCGACGGATTGTACGCATATTTCCCCCCTCCCTGGTGATCGCAAAGACCTCCATTGTCATTGTATGGAGTTGGCCTGTGGGCCGGGACAAGAATTTTCCTACGTCACCGCAACATTGTAGACTACGAGCTCAAGGCTATATACACGCAATTGCAATCAGTTTTAGGGTAGTAGTACTATCCACACGTGATGGATAGTACGCACATTTTCCCCCTAGCGAGACAAAGACCTCCATTGACATCGTATAAGTCTGGCCTGTAGGTCGAACCTCACCAACCTCGAAGATTGCCAGCTCAAGGCTACATGCAATGGCAAACAGTTTCAGGGTAGTAGAACTATCCACACTGGATGGTTATCACACCGCCGTTCCCTCCCAGTTGTTGTCTGAGATAGTCCCTTTCGGCCAGACAATGCCAATGGCACCGCAGAAGGAACGGAGAGACGCATCGCAGAAGTAGATGAGTCGCCTTGTGATGGTCCCTGAAATTGGGTGCTTGGGGATATTGTTGAGCTTGGAAGTCTGGATGCGATAGGGGATGAAGCCGCCGGACGAACGTGGAGGAAGGTTGTGACGAGACTATCAGAGATGAATGTCAAGAAGAGTTTGGCTGCGACAGTTGATGAAGAAATTGGATCGACTGTCGCTTGACGAAACACCGACGAAAACATCGGATACTCATGGACAGGAGTTTGGATAATGGTAAGTAGTGAATGATTCGTTGATGATGTAAAAGGAAGCCACACTGGAATTCCTGCATGGTAAATTAGCAATATCTATAGCGGGCAGGCAGGCATAGGTAAGGTTCAAGTCACGTACCAGGTCAATGAACAAAAGCAGAGTGTATTTCTTGAGCATGTAGATAGTTGAAGAAGTGAGAAATCTCCGGTATTCAATCTATGGGGAACATGGTATGTATGCGCTCATGGCAAACAATACGATATGAAATGGCGAAGCCCAACAGGATTCCAACTCGAAGGTCAAGGGTGAGAAAAAGGAGAGAAAAAATAGAGTATGCAAGTGGTAGATCCCTGGAAAGTAAAGAGCATACGCTTAATCCACGTGAGCAAATGACCTCCTTCCTAAATAGGATTGCAAAGAAAGACTCTGGCATGTGATAGTAAGTGACGCAAGTGGATCTTAGGAAGCAAATATTTGAAGTGAAGACGAATAATAGGAATAAAGCGGCTGCAAATTCCCAGGATAATTTCAGTGATAGAGAAGATCTAATAAAATAAATAAACATTTGAAGGAAGAACAAAAAAAGGAAGCCCCCCTTAGAAATGATCCACTCCTGGGGTTGAACCCAGGCAATGTCCTTTCCAGAGACCTCCGTCTACCGCCGGCATCAGCGTCAATACTCCGGGACTGAAACCAAGGAGCTTAACCACTGAGCTGCAAGGGGGCTTCGGTGAATATCACACATTTTAAACTAACCATAACAGATCCCTATCAATATATTAGCTATAATACCTTTCTCTCACTAACCACTATAGTCAAAACAACAAGAGAAAAAAAAATCAGGAGTGTGTTAAAGCAAAATAATATAATATCTATCATTTAAAAGATAAAGAAAAAAAAAGGAAGCCCCCCTTAGAAATGATCCACTCTTGGGCTTGAACCCAGGCAATGTCCTTTCCAGAGACCTCCGTCTACCGCCGGCATCAGCGTTAATACTCCGGGACTGGAACCAAGGAGTTTAACCACTGAGCTGCAAGGGGGCTTCGGTGACAATCACACTTTTAAACTGACTATAACCGACCCCCACCGATATATTAGCTACAACATTTTTTCTCTCCCAGTGATTGTGATTACCCTCCAGTTTAGTTTACCCAATTTAATTCTACGCAATAAGGATGATTATGAGTATAATATACGAGTCAAGAAGGTCAAGAAAAAAAAGCGAAGCCCCCCTTAGAAATGATCCACTCCTGGGGTCGAACCAGGTAATGTCCTTTCCAGTGACCTCCCTATCACGACTCGGTCAACCACGGCAATCAGGGTTAGTGCTCCGGGACTAAACCAAGGAGTTAACCGCTGAGCTATAAGGGGGCTTTATTGTTAAACTCAACAAATGCCCATTATCAGTGACTCCCTAATCCCGACACATTAATTACATCCTCCCCATTACTATCAACTATGCCCATTTAAAATAAAAGGACAGCGAGGGGAATTATTATTGAATATGTATATTAAAGTCAGAATCACAAGAAAAGGGAATCCCCTGGGATTTGTACATCGTCGGATGAACCAGGTAAATCACTCATCCCCATGGCATCTTTATTACAACACACTCTGCTGACCTACAGGATATTTCTAAACAATATACCGCTGAGATCCAAAAGCAGTTTTATTGGCATTAATAGGGTTGCGTGAATTGTGAGGGGCCAACCTATGTTGGCCATAATGAAGGCGTTCTCGGCATGTCCCGATAACTTTAAGTATCTAATATGTTGGTATATCCATGTTATTACTTGCTTTGTACCGATGGATATGTGGGACTAAACAAGAATGTCGGCCGTTGCGATGTATTCTTAATTGTCTTTTCGGTAGACCGTCTGGTCGTATCTTGAGTGCGTATGGCATTCTCGGATATCATTATGTTTAGATAAGTCGACGTCACAAAACGACCGGAAAAGGCTTAATTTATGCAAACGACCTTTCTATCTATAACCTTTCTTCTCCTGGAAGTGAGTACAAAATGATAGCAAGGTTATCTATGTCTGCCTTATTAATACTTGAAACAGTGGTCATTTCATCATATTCATTACATATCATATTCATTACATACATTCATAGGTGAGTATTCGCCTTACACAAGAACAAGTTAACATATCCAATACCCATAGCCCTTCACCGAGGGTCATGTCGTCTCACGACAAGAGCAAGTCAGAGCCAAGACTATGGGCAGGTACATACCCCTTAGAAACGACAAAGGGGCAAAGGAACGAGTGCGGAGTGGACGCGGCCGTTTTTCTTTTGGGGGGGGGGGGAGGACGGAGAAGAGAGGCTATAGCCCAAGAAGGCTCGCCTGCACCGGCACATTTGCTGGCAGGTTACTTTGGCCTGTCTGACTTGTGGCCCAAGACGTGGTACTCGCAAGGAGGAACTGACGCTGGGTTTCTCTTGCCATTGCGTCAGCCGCCTCGTTACCTGGTATCCCAGAATGTCCGGGGCTCAGATGAAGCTCGACGTGGACCCCAAGCAAACTTAAGGTCTTTGAGTGCGCGCTGATAGCTGCCAACTGTGTGGCGATACCTCCTTTGGCGGGATAAGGAAGGCTGCCACTAATCCGTCTGAGCGCTTGAGCATCATCGGTGAACACAAACAGCTCCTTGGCCCTATGGTGTAAGTGGGATTTGGTTTGGCCCAAAATCCCTTGATGAGACGTCTTCCTCTCTGGGAGACCTTGCACAACATCAAACCGCTCATTATCAATGTCATTGATGGCTGTCTCGAGGGCAGAGGCAATGCCGAACAATTCAAGTGTTGCCGTACTGTCGATACTGGTAGGATACTGTATTCCCTTTCCTTCGAATTCTGTGGAGGTGAAGCTTTTAGGCCAGACGATCCCTACAGCACCACATAGAAAGCGAATAGATGCGTCAGAGAAGTACACAAGCCTTTTCCTAACGCTCTTCCGGACATAGTGCTGCAAGATGTTTGTCGCAAATTCAAAAGCCCTAAGTCCAGTTGTCGGAGAAACGAATCCGACAAAGTCGTGGCCTAACTGCGAGGAGTACTTCCTTTCAGCGTTCCTGGTGCGTTTTTTTCTGGCGGAACGACGACGATTATTGCGTACATTGGTAGATGAAGGGGCCTTCCGCTTCCGATTAGGGCCGATGCTTCGCTGAATGGCCAATTCCGGGGCTGTGGACTTCGCCGGCAGCAGTGACAGGGTGTTTCTCAGTGGGGCGTTCTCTAGCCTGGGCTCAGGCGAGGCATTGGCGGATCGGACAAGGCGACCTCTCTGTACATTCCTCCGGGGATTTGGTAGGCTTTGTGGGGCGTGGTGGTCATCGGTGATTGTGTCAGGAACAGGCCCCGTCACAGGCCCACTGGCCGGCAGCTGCAACTGGGTGTTTCTCAGTGGGGCGTTCTCTAGCCTGGGCTCAGGCGAGGTATTGGCGGATCGGACAAGGCGACCTCTCTCTTCATCACTTGGGGGATCTGGTAGGCTTTGTGGGGCGTGGTGGCCATCGGTGATTGTGTCAGGAACAGGCCCCGTCACAGGCCCACCAAGAGGTTCATTAACTGGTTCTGGTGTTGGAGTATCGTTGATTTCAATAATAGTATTGCTTTCCATTATGTTAGGCGGTTGTGATAATATGCGAACGACAGGGGAGGGCGGATGCGATCAATGAGAAAATTGGAGGAAATAAGAATAGAAGAAAGAAAACGAGACGCTCACTAGTATTTGTTCGACCCCTAACAACTTTAGCCTACGGCAGTTAGCTATAGTGGTAGATATGCTACGCTATTACTCTATAATCTATTCTAAGTTCTAGCCAAAAGACTTTTTCTCCCTCTAACACAGGTCCATAGATTCGATTCTAGGAGGATATGGTATGGAAATGGATTTGCGGGTGGGTAACATGTTGTTGCAATGGAGGAAGAGGAAAGACTGGAGCCATATGAGGGTCGATGTAGGAGTCACATGCAGCAGAGCCCCCTCTATAGCAAATCGTTGTTGCCCAAACCTGCTCCTGGACAGACTGCTACGTTTGTACCAAGTGGTTTCCATTCTTCCTCTCTTTTCTCCTACATCGTGATCTTTTCATCACCTTTTTCTCGTTAACATTCTATCTGGACCTTTTTGTTACTGTTACAAGCCTATCCATCCGTTGAAGGTCAAGTGGAACACCACAGACCGACGATTTCATGCAATTCCGGCCCCGTACAGAGCCTCTGGCCTTTACTTCAAGCTTCGCCTTCTAGAGAAAGGGAACCGACCGGGAATGATGCTGCCTCCGAAGCCGCAGTTGGCCAGACGGCTTCAGTAGCCAAGTTACCGACGACCCACAATCTTCATCCCCAACATGAAGCCACCGAGATGGCTTCGATGGCTATCCCACCCACGACCAACAATCCTACCTCTCTAGCCCAAGCCATCGAGATAGGTTTGGTACCCAACCGAACCAGCTTGGCAAACGCACATACAAGCAAGCAGATGATTGCTGCATTTGAGCAAAATGCACCTCACGCGACCCCGGGTTGGGAGGCGGCAGATACTATGGCCCACGAAGACCCAAAGGGAACTACACCGGCAGCCAAAGAGCTTTCAGCTCCCTGTCAGGTCAATTCAAGATAGCCCAACAGAGGATGCTCCGCGAGAAGACCGTGCTGCGCGGAAATCCCGTCGTGCTCCCTCACCCTCTTCTACCCTCCTAGTCACTACAACCTCTGATCCGTCTTCATAAGTAAAGTATGCGTACTTTATTTGTGCCCTCAAATGGACTCGGTAGTACTGCCTAGGTGTGTAGTACGTATCATCAAGAACCTGTATATTAGATGTTCGATACTATCAATTGTACAAGCAATATGAGCAAATTTTGATATAAGAGCAAAGTGTAAATGGTATTACACTCACTTCGAGTTGAGCATAGCCTAGTATATCTATCATTATAACATGAGTAGTCAAAAATGTTAGAATCAAGGACTTGGATGGATGTGTAGTAGGGATAATACGGCCTTGAATAGGTGACATACATTTGTATCAAACACAAGTCCCAGGGGGGCTTTATTTCTTTCCTTTTTTTTTGCCTTATTTTTTGCCTTATATTTACTCACATATTTATATAGAATCAAACTCAGTTCTCAAGATCTTGTTAAATCCACCTCTCTTTCGCCTTCCATCTGGAGGGGATCGGTGTTACAACCTGCGCCTGGACTGGCGAGTTACAAACTAGGCCAAAAGACCACAATATCTGAGCATTATATGCACTATGACCCCCCATCAGCGCAGTTCTCGCTTTCAAGCGGACTTCGATCAGCATGGGGATATTCCAACCCAGCAAGTGCCCTTGGATCCACCTATGATCATATGGGCCAACGGTCTCCCTTGGTTCCCTATCTACAAGGCCTTTTATGTCCTCTATGGTAGTTGGAATCGCGCCTCGTACCTCGTCGGACGCAAGTATCGTCTCAGCATCTCCGAGTTCTACCTCGGCGCGGCACTGGCGCCACCCGAAGCTGTCCATGCTAGCCTGGAAGACTCTCTGATCCGCCTCACTTTGCGCGCATTCGACTCTATAACATACCCAGCGCCAAATCTCACGCAGGGCCCACTTGATTTGATCCATGTCACCACTATCAGTTGGGGAGAAAACAAGGTGCCATCCTCGCGTCATGCACTATATATATCGGAGCCTGGAATATCTGAGCATAGTGCTTAGATATAGTGGTCTTTTGGCCTAGTGTGTAACTTGCTAGTACAGGGGCAGGTTGTAACAGCCATGTCGCTTTCTCATGAACCCAAACCCTACAGCCTACGCACTAGTTTACCAGACAAAACAAAAGAAGGATCTTGCTTACGCCCGCCTACTCGACCTGACTGAATTCCATGAGCGAGTATTCCAGGCTCCAATATATATATATACTGCATGAGATAACAGTCCACACTTCCTTTTTTATTCATCTCTCAAATAGATATTACTTCTCATTTAACATTCCTATCCTGAGTTTTCTTTCTCTCTCAGTTTGATGGAATAGTGAAATTTAGTGAAGTAAGTTGACGAGGGATGAAAATGATATCATTTCTGTGCTTCATCTCCTCCCAGCTAAATCTTTGTTAACGTCTAAATTTAATCAAAATACATTTTTCCAGATCTAGTTTCTATTTTATGTTAGTGCTATCTTAGGCCTTTCCCTCCTTCACTTAAATCAGCTAAAGCGAATGCACTAGCCCTGGTAGTAGTGATCTTACACTTGTCTCTGGCTTTACCGAAATGCAATATGAAATTTTCATAATTTTACTTATAACTTATCCCTTTTACTTTCCAGTATATATATATATATATATATATATATATATCTAATCGGGTAGTAAAGGGCCTAGTTTCACTCCTGGTTTATACCTAATAAATTAACCTAGGTAGTTTCATCTTTTCCCATTTTTACACACTATAATGAATAAACCTTCATGCATTCAAAGAAAATAAAGACAACCAAGCCATATAACTCCCTATGATACAGATACGGAATGAATGTTCAGAGACGTTATACCGCTCCCATCTCATTATGTCGAGTGAGATTATAAGCTCGTTCAGAAAGATGCTTTCTCTAATGGCATAAATCCATAGTTCGTCTAGGCGTAGGATATTCCCAGTTTCTAGTGTATGCTATATGGTTCATAGTGAGGATTTCCTAGATTCACACCTGGGCACCTGATCGAGGTTGATTATGTAAAAGGACTCGACATCAAAACTTGGAAGTCACCCAGTCGTGGCAACTCGGATGGAAGCATCTCAAACGCATCAAACTGTGAATAGTCTGGTGAGACACCGTCGCGGAAGTGTTGGGGTTCGGAGTATACCATTTTTACTGTGGATGAACGTTCCGTGTTTTCTTTTTGCATTATAAAGAATGACTACTTGAAAATTGGGAGCGTTATGATCCTTCTATCAATCAACTACTCGTCAGAATAGCGAGTAAAGTGCATGAAGTTGCAATCACTGGTTTCAAATTCATATCATATTCGAAGCCTGGATACGCAAATGCGAAGGTAACGGCAACTATCCGGTTGACTGTACGGTTGGAGGGATAGTGAGAGGTCCGACAGGGAAGACGAAACGTCCAGATTGCTCGTGGACCCCTACACACTCCGGCCTCTCTGACCATTACCCTAGTATTGCAGTGGAAGTTGCGTGGACCGAAACGCGTAAGTAATTGGAACATTATATGGATACGGCTTTGGCTTACAAAGACAGATGAGTAGGTCAACGTTGCGCTGTGTATCACAGTGCAAAAACGCGGTAGAATCAGCGTTGAAGAATGGGGCATCAAAGGGAAACGTGTTGTCCCAGTACAACGTCCTAGAAGGAACTTGAAGGGGCACACAGACTGTCTTGACCCCCGATAACATGGGAAATACTATGACACCATCAACTCTCAATTTAAGCCACTGAATCCTCACTTCCTTCTCACTTGTCATTTCTCCCTGAATCCTCACTTCTCCTTCAGTATACCCCTCTTCGAGCCCAGTGAAATATGACCTATAATCCAGCGCATACGCCGTGAGCTTTTCCAACAAATTGTATGCACAATGTCTCAGTTATCGAACTAATACTTCGATGCTTGTTCGTCTATTTCCTCTATATCCCAAACTTTGGATTCTAACAAGACGGTACCGACTACAATAGGTCTGAATGAGCCCTCGTACCTCGCCCTGTATCACAACTATATATTTACTTTCATCCATAGATACCCCATTGACCAGTCAATCCTTGCTACAATTTTCGCCTTCTAAAAAGGGCAAACCCACCCAAATCATCCTCTTCATCAAGCCGAAGCCACCGAGATATCTTCAGTTGCTACCACAACAAATCCTAACGACCCTCCTCCACCCAAAGCCATCTCGGCGGCTTTGATGCGTAGCGTACCCACCCATAACAACCCTCCTCCTGGGACTGAAGCCACCGAGATGGCTTCGGCTTCCAGCCCGCCCGACACACTACAACGCAAGCAAGAGGCTGAGCGCCGCATTCGAGCAACATGCCCCTCGCCCGAGCCCGGGCTGGAAGGCGGCACACTCATCATTGCGCCTGTCGGTAGCGGCACCAGCAGCAGAGGCCCCAGCGAAAAGCGCAAACGCCTCTCAAATGGTGACCAGCAAGTCCGCGAGCCAGTATCCAAGAAAAGAAACGGAAAGCTCTTTTAAGGAGAGCTAGGTTATGAATTTGCGGGCTTCGTGTCGAAGGTGCGAAACGCTAGTACGCTCTATTTTTCCGCCAATAACCTAAAGCAACCAATTCAGATGCAATGGACCGACAGAAAGACCCAGTGGCAGCTCTTTGTGCAAATCGCGACCGCGAAGCCTACGACTCGTTTGGTAACGAAGCTTCCTTTCGACAAAAGCGTACCCATCGCGAGGGAAGAGAGACAGGATAATATCACGTTGGATATGCATATCCCCTGCTGCGGTCGCATCGCCATTGCAAAAGCCGATGGTTATCTCGAAGGACAACATACCCATGAAACCTTGGTAATCGTCGAAGTGAAGGCAGCACAACGAGATCATAAACGGCGCAAGCATTAGGCTTTGTGGGTAAGTACCCAACAATAGCACCTCCCATTATATGATACACCTTGAAGCTGACTCGTTCAAAAGGCTGTTGACTGCTAACTCCTGAGCACTGGGCGCGGGTTCAATAATTCCATGAAGCGCTCGAGGCACAGAGTATGGAAACATGCACTCGATGCCGCGAGTGTTAGTTTGGCCTGGACTGCGCTACTTGCGGTCCTTTGGTCGGTGTCTGTGCCAGGTGCAGACGTCGAGATAAGGAGGACCGAAAGCCGAATGCCGCAGACCTGGTTTACCTCTACGGCCGGGAGAATAGTATTATGCCTGACGACATATGCTATTTCCTCCCCGAGCTCACACACGTCGACTAGATGGTCATTTCATAAGTGTGTGCCATCATCGAAGTACGGCATTACCGCGGGCAGTAGTACCACTGCCATGGCCACGTCGCCCACCTCATGACCACCCTAGAATAACCAGGAGCTGGAGTACACGGTACGCCAGCAACGCAAGGAACTGAAGATTAAGGACTACGCGATCTATGGCATATCATCAAATGGGTATGACCTCGGCTTCAAGATTTGAAAACGGTTCTATGGTGGGCGGCAGTTCGTGAGTTATTACCTCCTCTGCTCGTTAACAGATTTCACACAATATCTAGCGTCCTCGGTCAACTTGGCTATAGGGGAGAATTGAACAATTGGGCCAATTTCCCTCAGGACGTAAGGAACACAACCGACAGCCAGAGCTTGCTTGTCACACTAAACCCAAGTAACCTTTTTGGACCTGTGCTAGTGATTTGATTGGACTGCAACTACTCGCGACGGGAAGCTTGATCCTTCGAGGAAGAATGCTACACAAGCATTTCTCATAGTGGAAAACTATTGACCGTGGAGCATTAATTGATGACCAGCGCTCCGACAGTTGTATCCAAAGTTCCTTAGTTGTGAGAGTAATCATAGTAAATATTTCTAATAGCCATCAAATCGTGACCATACTGCACTCACATCTAACAGGCCCAGCACAGATATCCGGCTGCCGTAGAGATTAGCGCCATTATGTAGATGCAATTCATTACAAGAATAGTCGGCCGCATAAGCGGCCTTGCGATGTTTTTTCCAGTGGTGCCTTCAGTGTTCTCTTTGAATATGATTCTATCTTGTGGGTCGACAGCAAAAGAAATGCGGAAAAGGCTTAATTTGTGCAAACATTTATGTATAAGTTTGTATGACCTACCAAAAGTAATAGTTGGGAATTAACTAAACAACTAACTCGACTGCTTTTACTTTTAATATGACCCGAGCTGCCAACCAGAGACGATTTTGTATTTATTATATGTATGTGGGTATTTTGTAGTGGAAATAAAGCCACATCCTAGTCGTAAGCAGGCTAGCGTCCACGGGTAGTACCCACGTGGTCGGTGGACCCACCGCCCAATATCCCAATATCTAAAGTCTAAACAAACTTTTGTGGAACGGCCCAGGAACACCAATACACTGATATTGCGTTGACCCCATTGCGAGTGCATATCCATCTCATATCGAGATGGTAATTAATTTCAAGAGAGCAAAATAGTTGTAAATTGAGAGACGAAGTAGCAAGTAAAAAGAGAAGAAGGGGTGGACCCCCCCCTTCCCTAGGTTAAGCAAGGTCGAACCAGGTAGTGAACTCACCTGCGCTCCCTCCCTATCACGACTCGGTCCACAGCTGCGAAGCAACAAAAAAAATTCTACGCAATAAAAATGATTATGAATACAATATATGAGTAAAGAAGGCCAGGAAAAAAAAGGGAAGCCCCCCTTAGAAATGATCCACTCCTGGGGTTGAACCCAGGCAATGTCCTTTCCAGAGACCTCCGTCTACCGCCGGCATCAGCGTCAATACTCCGGGACTGAAACCAAGGAGTTTAACCACTGAGCTGCAAGGGGGCTTCGGTGACAATCATACATTTTAAACTAACCATAACAGATCCCCACCAATACATGAGCCAGCTATCCATAGATAATACTTTTCTCTTACTAACCACTGTAGTCAAAACAACAAGAGAGAAAAAAAAATCAGGAGTGTGTTAACGCAAAATAAGATAATATCTATCATTTAAAAGATGAATAAAAAAAAGGGAAGCCCCCCTTAGAAATGATCCACTCCCGGGCTTGAACCCAGGCAATGTCCTTTCCAGAGACCTCCGTCTACCGCCGGCATCAGCGT